TCACGCAAAAACTACTGAACTGATAGTCATGTTCATGGAGGTATTGAACATAGGATACTTTTTATTTAAAAAAAAATTAAAATATTAACAGCAAGTGAAACCGCGGGTAAAAGCTAGTATGTACATGCTACATCGTATTTTTTAATAAATACATATACATAGAGAACACCCAGGCCGATACAACCAATCATATTAAAGAATAATGTTTGTACTGTGCGAGGAATCGAACCCGCGACCATCGGATAGTAAAGCGGTATGATATACCAGTAGACCATCAAGGTTGTAAATACTTCAAATTTAATTCAATACTTAGATATTATAGAAATATGATTATCACACTTTATCGACAGCCTCCCCTATTTGTTAGAATCACTAGTCATGTAGACGACTTAGGCTTCGAAGCCGGCTACCAGAAGAGAAACCCCAAGTAGCGCCCGTGACTTGTGACACGGGTGTAGGTTTAAAAGGCCCTTTTAGAATGCATTAACACTCACCTTCACTACTTGCAGCTTCTCCCCAGGCCCAACTAAGACCGGGATAAACCTGTCTCTAATAAAATTCACTTTAGTATCCGAAATACAACCGGCATGTTCTGTGCTCGTCGACCGAATGCCGTGGCTTTAAGACTTCCCCATCTCAAACAGATATGAGTGGGGGTTATATGCGACTAGTTCAACGATACCGAGTAATAATGAAACTACCTTCTTTTACGTTATTTAAATTATTAACCGGGTCTTAACACGAATAATTTTATGGCAAGTAAAGGTATTTACCTCTCTCGACGTTTCGACTAGGTTGTCGTTAAAGTCGTAACTTGCTATGCAATAACGATGAAACACTGTATGAACTTATTATATATATATACATATACACATATATATATGTATATACCAACTATAAATATCATAATGGATATCTGAGCTGAGATTCATTTATGAAACTGAGTTGGATGCGAATCCAAACCTAAATGGTTCATAACACTGAGCTGTGTGACGAGTAACTGAGAGTGCAGCATATGTACATTTGATACTGAGCTGAGTCCCTTGGCTATGTCCAACGGGATGCAGTACATTGTTATAGTAAACTAATATTACGTGCACCAATGAGTAACATACGGAGCTGAGTTCGATCTGAGTATTCTGAGCAGTCGCCTCCAACCACCCCTTACAGCGACCCCTGTCCTCACAACTGAGTAACAAGCATGACACTGAGCACAATCCTGAGGTCTTAAACGCCTTAGACACGGTTCAAGTTGCTTAGCAGGCAACTACTGGGATCGAAGTATAGGCATAACACTGAGACACACCATTTCGTTATAATCATTGTAAATTACACTAAAGATTCAACATTTTTTTTTTTCAATAGCATATGCTGGTGGTCAGTCTATTCTCCCAAATTTGAATTTAAATGAAATTGTATTATTGTAAATATGTACAACATTAAAAAAAAAGTACGAGCTGAGTTTCTTGTCATATCTCATCTCGAAATCATTCCGAACTGACGGTAGATTTGACATATCATACGAGTCTGTAATAGACCTACATGAATAAAGATGTTTTGAATTAGAATTAGAATTAAACAAGTTTACGTTGTATTATAATAGTTGCAAAGCACTTACTGCAATATTTTCGCGAACAAACTCGTAGAACTGAACTCTGACTCGTAGAGCTCGACCTCTTCGCTCTATTTCTAATAACTATCAAACGTTAGTGTATTGCACTTTCATTCTACCGTCGTAATTTAATTCACCTCTTACACGAATAGATATCATGTAAATACAAATATCGCGATGATTCGCTACATAGGTTGCACTAGCCGTGGTCACGAGCTGACCGAGTAACAGCGATGTCAATGTAGATAGGTGACAGCAGTTTTTTCTTCATCTACCGTCACTAGATTGTTTAACGTCCGTGTTAAGACCCGGTTAATAATTTAAATAATGTATATTAAACACGAAAGTTTAAAATGAACTACCTTTTAATATTTTTAAAATATCGGATTTTCATGACACATTTTATGAGTGGCCCCTTATGTAAGAAACTAACTAAAATTTCAGTTACACGCTCCATTTCAGTTTCCGTTTAAAGAAGATAAAATTAAAACAGTCACTTCTTTTAACACATGTTTCGTATCGTACAAAGAGGTACATTACATTGCAATTTTTTGCCTTTTTCGTCCGGCAGTGGACCCGAGTCTAGATAATAGGGTTTAAAGTATGAAATTGGGTTCCCTAAAATATGGTCGAGAACCGTGATGGCTGGCTCATACGTCATACTAGTGAACGAGTGCTGCTTGTAGGGACTGGTCAGTTCTTATCACTACGACTGATTTAATCATATTATGTACTTAATATCTGAAGTTAATAAATTGGTGCTAGTTGGTGGTTTGTTTCAAATTCGAAATGTAAAGTTACAATGATTATTTAAAAGAGCAACACGAAAGTTTCTTGCTCGTTCTTCTTGTGTTGAGACAGCTTTCCGAATGAGCGGTAGATTAAAAAAATTATAACTATGACTATTCAAAAGTGCTTAAATTAAGTTTATTTGAATAAATGATTTTCTATTCTATTACCAACGATGTACCGTATCAGGTTGATCTCCACGTAGTTCCCCTGGAAACCATCGTGGTAATCCGTTTGCCAAGATGTGCTAACTGACCTGACCTCATGCTCATCTTATCATCCTCCACTGGTGCCCCGCCAGCGTAAACCGTTAGCGCAGTTATTCTATTCTAATAAATACTTTGAATTGACATAAAATCGATGATTTTTGAATTTGTAAAATCTATGATATAAATAAAACAACTGACTGATAGAGATACATTTATTTCAACTTAAATAAACTGGGAATATATTTAAGAAAATAACGCTGCGTGCACGGCAGTGCGCGACCAAGTCTTAATATAAAATAATACTCTTCACAATTAAATCACGAATATATCGAGGAACTAAGAAAATAAGGATTCAATTCGAATTTAAACTTATAAGAAAATAAATGCTATGTTTTGTAAAATAATATTTAATTATTTGTTTGTAAATAAATATTTAATTATTTGCGCTCTACACATTGTTAGTAAATAAAAACTAAAATTAGGTCGACCAGTTTTTAGCGTATACCATTAGAATTTCTATAAAAAATTCATTTAAACTTAAAGAATACTGATTTTTAAATAGGTTTATTAAGGCAATACAAAATTATTCATTAATTTTTAAGTAATTGGAATAGACAACAAGCTTACGGCCCACCTGATGGTAAGTGATAACCGTCGCCTAGAAAATTAGTCAAAGTGTGGCACTAATCCTTAAGTTAGGTTAAGTTTAGTTTTCTTTATAAGTTAATTCCCGCTCTAAGAGGCTCACAACCGAGCTACACGGAGGTTGTTGCCCCCGGAGTTGATGCTGAGGCAAAGGGGCCTCGAGGACCCCAACCTTCACCCCCTTAAGGGTGTGCGGATAATCAGTGCCAGTCATGAACAGAACTACTGACGTTATCTAAGTAACATTGTGATACCACTCATGGACTAAATTTAAGACTCCAAGGACTGTGGGAGGATCCTAGAAAACCTAGAATATAGAACCTAGGGAATTCTAGAATTAATGTTTTTTTTTGTACGAATGTTCTTCCTCCAACTCCTTATCCCAATGTCATTTATCTAAATCCGCACATTGCCTCATGTGAGATATGCATAAATTCAATTTGTAAGTTAATTTTATACAACATCTGTTCAATTAAATGAATTTCTAATTGTTTGTTCGTTTCTTTTGTAATACCTTTGATCCCAGCCTGCAACTTTGCGTAAACCTGTACATTCTACTATGTTAAAGAGGTTGGCCTCTCCCACATTTATTTATTTATTCAAGATAAGGTGCTCACCACACTTACAGATAATCCAAAGCGTGTAGTGAGCATATGACGTACTTTATGTGTGGGCCCTTATATCGTACGTACACTATTACTACTTTAGTTTTTGTTCTTAGCCTAAACCACAAGATAAAAAAAATAAGAAAATGGCAAACGCGAAAAACCGGTCAAGTTAAAATTAATACATAGCTGAATAAAGTCATTGTGACAACATGATAGTTCAATTTACAATTACAACACGCCATCACGGAAACATATCAAGCTTATATCCTGTAATTTCAAATCCAAAGCATGTTGCTTGGCGATTGAAATAGGTGAGGAGAATTTAAGGACAACTCAAACGTCGCTATCTGGTTACAAATAAAACAAAGGCAGTACTATGTATACTAAAAAACTTATAGAAATACTTAAATTCATTTATGAACCTGTTTTTGCGTATTATTTTAATGCTGTTGGCCGCAGCTATGGGACGATTGCAGACGGAACTACAAACTAAAGTAAGGACTTATGGAGCGGCTGAAGGCCAACTCCCGCCTGACGGATACGACCTTACTCTAATGACATCGCTAGAAGTTTGAACATCGGCTCAGGCTCGTAATTTGATCCCCGTTTGAATTGTACAAAATTTCTTCATTTTCCGTGACGAGGGATACTTATTGAAATAATGTAATAACGATTTTTAAATTCGATTATTATAAAACATTGTAGACAATCTTAAATACACTAAAAAGTAAAATACAAAAATATACTTAATAATTACAACTATACGATTTATAATATCTTAACCATAACAATTTTACAATGTTCGTCACTGGTTTAATCAGATTACTTTGATACAGTGCTATCATTTGTTCAATTACAAACATTTACGTAAAAATAACTAAAATCTCATACATATTAGACGTGGGCGCTGAATAAACGAACCGTTTTGTGCGTGAACTATTAAACTAGTTTACAGTTCACAAAGGAACTAGTTTATTCGTCGATTGGTTGATGAGTTCGTTGCATCGCGTAGCGATCGTCTCACCTCGTCTAGTGAACCGATCTAGACTGTGGCTCCGTCATCATCAATTGGTAAACTAGATTTTCGTTCGTTTATGTTTACCAACCGTCTATACGAAGATATACTCTTTTCGACGACGAAATCAGCCGAAAATTAGATTGTTTTTTAAACTAGTTACCGTCGATGGTAAACGGTCTCGTTGCATCAACGATCCACCACTAATACACACTATTATAGTGTTTATTGCTTTCTTTCAAATTATGAAAATAATGTTAGCTAAAATGAAAAGGACTATTTTATATACATACATGTAACATTGCCTCGTATTGAAATAGGCGGCAAGACAGGTGAGCGACAAAAACTATCTTTTATACTATTTAGCGAAAGAAATTAATACTTTTTGTTGCAATTCAAAGAATACAAACTGTGTTTGAGAATATAGTCTTGGCTCATGAACACTTCCGTATATATATTTTAATACTTGACATTTCCATTTGTGACCGTTGCGTTGAGATACCTGAAAAAAAAAACAGTAATTTAGTTTTTTTTTTTTTACGTAACTGGAAAGGCAAACAAATAGCCAGGTATTTTTTTTATTGGATGATATTGGTATAGTGCATTGTGCACCAGTGGAGGATAATAAGATGTACATAAGGTCAGGTCAGTTAGCACACTGTGACAAATTCATCAGGAAAAATGGTATTTTCTGGTGAAAAGTGATTCATCAGCTATCCGATGAGATATAACAAAATAGGGTTATATCAAAAATTTGTAAAAAAAAAACTTTGTGTTTTTATATTTGAGCCTAAATAAATTAGTGCTGGTTGGTAGTTTGTATTCACACGTTTCGACTTGTAAAATGTGAACTTACAAGGATTGTTTAAAAGAGCAACACACAAGTTTCTTGCTTATTCTTCTTGTGATGAGACAGCTTTCCGAATAAGAGATGCGAGCCGCCAGGTCGTAAATTTAAAAATACCACGCCAATTGTTCTTTAGGGTTCATGTAATGCGTGCGAGTGAAACACCTTACGATTTATATATATATACATATAAATAAAATTGGAGTGTCTGTTTGTAATATTGAAATAACCGTTTTTTACTACATGCATATGAATATAAATACGGTACATACACCAAAATAACATTTTTTCTCAATTGTTCCGGCTAATCTCTGACATGGCTGGACCGATTTTGCCGTAACTTTTTTTGGCAGGTAGCTGATGTAATAAGCATTAACTTAGGCTACTTTTATTACACCGAAATAACATATTTTTTTAATTTTTGTCTGTCTGTCTGTTTGTTCCGGCTAAACTCTGAAATGGCTGCACCGGATTCGACGGTACTTTTATTGGCAGGTAGCTGATGTAATAAGGAGTAACTTAAACTACTTTCATTTTAGAAAAATAGAGTTACATTCCAAGCGGACGTAGTAGTGGCAACAGCTAGTATATATATATATATATATATATATATATCTATATATATTACATACATAATATTTACGTGTACACATCACGAGGTAATTCCAACATCCTTCGTACGTCATAACACTATTATAAATGTTAGTATTGTTACATCAAATTGAATTAAACGCCACGTTATCACAGGAAATATAATGAACTGATAAGAGAATGTAATTACTATGTAGTTACATCAAACATACAAATTATATTAATAACTAGCTGCACCCGCGACTTCGTCCGCGTGGAATTCGACTTAAATTTTCTAAAATTATTACGTCATCACCTGTCAAAAAAGTCCTATCAAAATCGGTCCAGCCATTTCAGAGATTAGCCGGAATTTTCTAAAATAAAAGATTTCTAAATTACCTTACCTTATTACATCAGTTCCTTGTCAAAAAAAGTCCCGTCAAAATAGGTCCAGCCATTTCAGAGATTCCGGAACAAACAGACAGACAGACAAACACTTCGAAAAATGTTATTCTGGTGTATGTACCGTATTTATATTCATATGCATGTAGTAAAAAACGGTTATTTCAATATTACAAACAGATAATCCAATTTTTTACAATTTTTGTCTGTCTGCCTGCCGGTCTGTTTGTTCCGGCTAATCTCAGAAATGGCTGGACCGATTTTGACGGGACTTTTTTTGGCAGGTAGCTGATGTAATAAAGAGTAACTTTGGCTACCTTTATTTTAGAGAATTAAAGTTAAATTCCACGCGGACGAAGTCCCGGTTACAGCTAGTTAATAATAAACAAAATGTCGGTCTCTATGTGAGAAATAAGATTTTCTATCTGGTCTTCAACGTGTTAAAAATAGAGAAATCAATTACCCCAGTGCAGTCATCATTTAGATTGATGTTGCCTCTGACCCTGACACGATTTGACCTTATACAGTTGTCTGTTTGTTATCACCATACAGGAAAACAGACCCCAAGGTCCCCTAACACACGGCCGACCTCGCGTGTACGTGCCAAATTGCATCACAAAATCAATAGCTTTTTTTCGGACTACTCTAATGCTGTTGGCCGCAGCTGGCCTTTACAGCTTCACCGGACGTTAGGGCGCGAGTGCAGATGGCACTCCAAACCAAAGGAAGGACTTATGGAGCGGCTGAAGGCCAACTCCCGCCTGACGGATACGACTTTACTCTGAGGGCACCGCTAGGGGTTTTTTTTTAATTAAATACAATTTTCCACAGACATATTGGTCCGTGCCTTTTTTAATTTACTTTAATATTATTATATTTCTTTAATTTCCACTTTTGTACAACTCCAGCCGAGATTACAATTTGCCTAACAGTGGCACCGAGGCAGACCTTATCCGTCTGGCCCAGAACCACCGCTGGCCGGCCGGGTGAGTTGACAACATGCAGTGTCACCTATCTTTATTACGATTTTTTTCCTTTTTCTTCAGAAGTGTTAGGCTGTGCTCCTAGGCTCTTATATATTTTTTTTGTTTTTGTATGTTTATAGTATTATGTTTTTTTTTCTATTTTTTTCTTTTCCTAGGAGCCAGTTACATTTACCAATATGCATATACAATTATATAAATCTTACATTACTATTAGGGGTTCGAACTTCGGCTCAGGTCGTCGTAATATCGATCCCCGTTTGAATTGGACGGGGTCCATCGATCGATATTACGATATATCGATCGGAGGGGGAAATCTATAGCGAGTTAGCAACGCCAGGAACCATGAAGGGTAGTAAGTAAGACGTCAGAAATCATGGCCATTCTATAACTAAATGCTGTGGGCCGCAACTTACGAAGCAAGCTGCTTGGCAGATGAAATAGTGAGGACTATTTCCTCAAGGAGGAGACAGGAGAGGAGGTCATTGGGCTCCCTAAAATATGGTCGAGCGCAGTGATAGCTGGCTCATACGTCATACTCGTGAACGAGTGCTGCTTGTAGGGACTGGTCTGCTTTTATCACTACGACTGATTTAATCTTATTATGTTTTAAATTTGAGCCTAAATAAATTAGTGCTGGTTGGTACTATACCGTTGTATTCACACGTTTCGACTTGTAAAATGTGAACTTACAAGGATTATTTAAAAGAGCAACACACAAGTTTCTTGCTTATTCTTCTTGTGATGAGACAGTTTTCCGAATGGGCGGAAGAGTTAAAAAAAAATTGTTGAATATTCAAAAGTGCTTAAATTAAGTTTATTTGAATTTGATTTTCTATTCTATTCTATTCAGTTATCTAAATTTAAAAATGTAGAGTAAAGTAAAAATAAAAATAAAATTTGAAAAAGTATTGTTCCGAAAAAGTCAATAGGTCTTTTATGGAAATAGGTATAAAAATTTACAATACCCTAGACGCAAGTTTATCTTGAAATCTAGTATTAATGTTATGTTATATTATAGTTGTAAAATATTGTATTTTAAGCATTCATATCGGGAATGAGAAACATCCGTTCCACTGGCACGTGGCCTCATTTGCAGCCGATTTAAAAAAAGCACATCCTCTTTGTTTATTTTATGTTCTGCCCAATTTACACTCAGCCCGAGTGGGCAGGGAAGTGAGCAGCGCGAGAGTGTAAACACGAGTGGAAACACTTCCCATGCCATTGTCGCTGCCACTCGCGCTGCCCGGCGCTCCCTCGATTGTCGGTTTTTCGTGCGCGAGTCAAAGGACTGGCAGTGCGAGTGGCAGCGTGTTTTTACATTCAGCCCTCTCGCTCAGTTGTCGCCCGGCAATAATTCCGGCAGCGCGAGTGGCAGGGGGAGCGGCTGAATGTAAACGTAGCATAAAGTGTTTGAATAAATTAAGGTTTTTTTTAACCTGGACAAATAACACAGCGCCATCTAGTCCCACTATAAGCAGAGGTTGTGTTATGGGTACTAGACAACTGATATAAATACTTAGATATTTTTTTTGTAAACGCATACCTAATAAACATATAGATATATAAAACATATAGACTGATAAAAACAATCATACTCATGAATACAAATGTTTGTGCCGTGCGAGGAATCGAACCCGCGACCATCTGAAGGAAGGCGGTGTGCTAAACCGCTAGACCATCGAGACGTCAATAATAATCTTATCTATACATATAAATAAAATTGGAGTGTCTGTTTGTAATATTGAAATAACCGTTTTTTACTACATGCATATGAATATAAATACGGTACATACACTAAAATAACATTTTTTACAATATTTGTCTATCTACCCCAAATAAATGGGATAAGGAAGAAGCAGATGATGATGACGATGATGATTTGTCTATCTGTCTGTTTGTTCCGGCTAATCTCTGAAATGGCTGGACCGATTTTGATGGGACTTTTTTTGGCAGGTAGCTGATGCAATAAGGAATAATAACGAGTAATAACGAGTAACTTAGGCTACTTTTATTTTAGAAAAATAAAGTTAAGTTCCACGCGGTCCAAGTCGTGGCAACAGCTAGATATAATATAATATTATAAATGCGTATGGATGGATGTTTGTTACTCATTCACGCAAAAACTACTGAACGGATTTTGATGAAACTTTACAGTAATATAGCTTATACATCAGAATAACACATATATATATATATAGGCTATAAATTTGACGCGAGTGAAACCGCGGCCACATCTAGTTTATAATATAAATAGACACACAAAACTTTTTTGGTCGCGTTCAGATTCAGAACTTCTTGGTTAATTCTGGGTTGTAAACTGCAGAAAATAAATATAAAAACATACTCACATTAAGTGGATATCTTAAGGCAGGGTCTGACTGCCCTGCGCTCGGATGCTGCCCGTCCTGCAGAGCCTCTTCCCAATAGTCTGTACGTGGAAACCAATGTTTAACAGTGCCTCATGGTCTAGAATCTTCCTACCATCAAATATATATGCTGGCTTCATCATAACTTCGAATATCTTCTTAAAATCCAACTCCTTAAATTCATCCCACTCGGTACATAACACTATAGCATGAGCCCCAGTTACAGCGGAGTAAGCAGAATCATGGATTTCCACGTTCTTGCGAACAATCTCAGGCTCTGATGTGACATAGGGACTTGTTAGTTCGTAGAAAATCTGCTCGGTTTCCACTTTGGGATCGTATATGTGGAGTTTAGCTCCTTCATCGAGTAGAGTTTTGGACACGCAGATAGCTGGAGACTCTCTAGTATCGCCGGTGTTCTTTTTGAAAGAAAACCCTAATATAGCAATATTTTTATCGCTGACCGTATTGAATAATGATTCTATAACTTTACGTGTAAACCGTTTCTTCTGGTAATCATTTAAGTCCACTACTTGCTGCCAGTACGCAGCAACTTCGGGCAAATTTAGACATTCACACAAATAAATAAGGTTCAAAATGTCTTTCTGGAAGCAGCTACCTCCAAATCCTATTGACGCTTCCAAGAACTTTGGTCCGATTCTTGAATCGCGACCGATTGCTTTAGCTACCTCTGATACATCTGCACCTGTGGCTTCGCAGACAGCAGATAAAGAGTTGATGCTGGAGATTCGCTGTGCAAGAAAGGCATTAGCGGCTAATTTGGACAGCTCTGAACTCCATGTGTTGGTTGTTATAATGTTTTTCGCTGGTATCCAATGCTCGTACACCCAGCACAGCTCCTGAACTGCCTTCTTACCCTCAGGAGTGTCTTCTCCACCGATGAGAACGCGTTCAGCCTCAACCAAATCGACAATAGCTGTTCCTTCCGCCAAAAACTCAGGGTTTGATAGAATTTGGTATTTGACACCAGGTTTTGTGTTAGCGCGGAGTATTTTCATGATAATTTCAGCCGCTTTGACGGGAACCGTGCTTTTCTCCACGACAATTTTGTTGTTGGTCGCCAAATCAGCAATCATACGCGCAGCACCTTCGATATACTTCAAATCTGCCGCTCTACCTTTGCCATTACCAAATGTTTTGGTTGGCGTATTAACAGATATGAATATCAAATCGGCTTCCTGTATACTCTTTGCTATATCAGTAGAAAAGAACAAATTTTTACCGCGACATTGCTTCACGACTTCGTCTAAACCAGGCTCGTAGATCGGCAATTTATCAGAATTCCATTGGTTTATGCGCTCCACACTTTTATCACAAACGGTAACTGTTATTTTTGGGCATTTTAACGCTATAACGCTGCAGGTAGGCCCGCCAACGTAACCAGCGCCCAAGCAGCAAATTTTTTCGATCACCATTTTGAAATATTAAATTAAAGTTTTAATAATTTTTTTTTATAAATATAGGTAACAAGGAATTCTTTATATTTTTTTTATGTGTGACGACTAAGGAAGTAATTTATATAACTAACTATTCAACGTAATTACACTAAAAAATACTTAATTACTTTATCAGATTATGGTTTTAAATTGACAAGTGATAAGTCCGTATTATTTAACAGTTCCCGTAAGCGGATTTATAACTGATACAACACGCACTAATCCGCGTAAATCAAACTGTTGGACTTTTCGTTATTAGATAGAAGACAGTAATAAACGAATTGGAATTTGTCTACAAAACAGGTGTCATTGACATTTTGACATTACTGTAAAACCAATGACATTTCTAAGTAGTAGTGATGTGCAAATACGATGAATCGACACATGAAAGATTCCGTGGTATTATTTTTTATACTCGTTCGGATATCATTTTATTTCTTCATTATTAGAGTAAAGTTAATCTGACATAATAATCGATACTTTTGTCTGAAATTAATTTAAACATACATACGTAGATGAATATTTCCTATATTTTACCAACTTATAATAGCACCAAACATCCGTTGATTACGTTTTATAAAAAAATATTTTTATATTGAGAACTCGATTCTTATAGAAAAACATTACGGGTATTGGGGTATCCGCAAATGCATGATTTCATAGTGTAAATAAATAGAAATATAGAAACTACAAAGGTATAACATATATTTGGTTCACTCACATTCGCGTCTACAAAATAGACGAAACAAATTCAATCTCTTTTAACTTTTTTCTTCTAAATACGTAATTATAAATACGATATCTATCAGATAAGAAAATAACGAAATTGGTGGTTCTCAATTAAATAATTTTTTGGTGTATCTGAGGAAGACCTCAGAACAATCTCCTACGTATGCTATTTTTGCGGATTTTTTATTATTTTAAGCTGGTACTTCTTATTCTTGTATAAATTTAATAAAATCTATACGATTTTGAGCCCAAGTATAAATCGTTAACGATTTAATTTTTTTTTATAACATATCTTTTTTTTTTAATCTTGCAATCAGTCACGTGAACTATAAGCAGATGTGGTGTTCCGTATATAGCTGGTAGAGTGCAGCTCCCAGTAGAGCAGCTCCTCGTTCTTAAAACTCAGTCCTGTATATCTTGGTCAAATACATTACTCCTTTTCTTTAAACGACGCACTTTTTCGGGCATTGTAAGTTGCCCAGCATATTATTGTTTTAATATATTGCATATATTTTATTATTGTTATAATTTATATACCATTTGTATTATTTTAATAAATCTAATAAGCTATTGGACTAGATTATAAATAGTGGCATATATAAAATGTTGCTGCAGTTACTTTTACAATAATATTACTTTAAAACCACAGATAACATAATATTACAAACGATTATCGAAAGTGAACAAGTAAAACATTTTAATACTATAATAATTTAAAAGTATAAATACTTTAAGTTTTGTTCTTCAACTGCAAATCCTAGAATAATTATTTTCGTACTTAAGAATTTATTATGTTTATTATGTTACACTTGTAATATTTCTGTCGACACTTGAAACGCTTTTATAATTTACGTCTCCACTACATAGATTTAAGTTACGTGTAAAATCAGTCTACGTCCCGACTCCGCGTCGACTGTACGCGTTATTAATAAGCCATGTAGCACACTACCAATAAACTTAATAATGTCTAATAAATAGTGCAATCATTTACCGGTATACTCATTACCTACATACTACAATAAATAATATATTATGTAGCGCCACCTCATCACAACATATATAACGCTACAGTGATGAGGATAACCACGCTACAATAGCAAAATGCGTGATTCACAAAAACACTGCACTTCACTACCCAATTTTCAATGTTGCCAAAACATTTTTTTTCCTACAGTTATAGGATAATTGTTTCACTTGTTTTTAAGCATTGTAAAGGAGCTATAATACTTATAAACAAATTATGTCCAGTTTGTTTCACTTCCATATAAGTTGCAGATTTGAATACTTAATTTTCTTGCCATCCGATTGAAATATAAAATTTATTTTACACAAGGAAAGTGAGAATAAAATGGCAACACCGATTTTTATTTTTATATGTCAGTTGACAAGGTGTGTCAAGGAAAGAGATCATAAAGCTATATTAATATTAGATTTACAGTTTTTTTTTATAACTTAAATAAATGTCACCTACTTAATGGTGAATAGTAGCAGTCTATATACATGAACAGTATTACAGACATCACATAATGTGTACTGCGACCATTTAAGCGATTTATTTCGATTCTATTACGGCCTCGGTGGTCTATCTGTCTTGCACACCGCTTTACTTCCGATAGTCGCGGGTTCTATTCCAGTCTAACTTGGAATTAAATACAGAATGAGAAACATATTTTTAAATATATATTTTTTATTTCCAGAACTATGTTACAATTACATTTCTTTTTTCTTAATACAAATATACCGGGATGTGAGAGGGGATAATTAGTAATGGGTAGTGATTTTCAATGTACCATCCATGTTAGGTCGACCTCTACGCTGTCTTTGGAAACCATCGTGATAAATGATTTCCAATGTATGGTACATCCAGTCGACCTCTACGCTCTCTCTGGAAACCATCGTGAATTTCCTGGTGAACTCAAATGAGCTAACTGCCGTAACTTCTCGTGTCACCTTCCATTGGTGCCCCGCCAGCGTACAGCATTAGCGAAGGCGGGTGCACCGTTATCATGCATTCGAAAATCTTGAATTCATCTGAAGTTAAGGTTCATCCATAAATTACGTCACACGTTAGGATGGTAGATAGGGTTTGACAAAGAGTGATAATGTGTGACAAAGAGTGATATTGTGTGACAACGTGTGATATTGTGTGACAACGTGTGATATTGTGTGTCAAACGAGTGGGAGTGGTGACACGTACGTTACGTAATCATTTACAAAAAAAAGTATTTCTATCAATTGTCTCTGCTTAGCTTGGGACTAGATGACGCTGTATGGATTGTCTAAGAATATTATTATTAAAACAAGAAATTTTTATTATTAACGAGAATAATTAAACTTTCGAAACATGTCACGTCACAATAGAGGGGTGAGGGAATGTCACAAATGTGACCAACTGTGACAATGACGATGAAAAGGCGAGAGTCAAATTGACGAAAACCGTGTCACGTACTTTTTGGACGTACCCTTAGGGAGACATTATAATTTAACACTGAAGTGAGGGAGTAGGGGGTAGGGGGTAGGGCGGGATTAAGAGGGGTCAAACTTACAGTGAAGAGGGGGGGGGGGGGGGGGAAGCAGGAGGCAGGGGGGGGGGGGGGTCAAACATCACGAAAATCGTGATTACAGACATAATAAGATGTATCTTATTGTTTGCCAGTCTGTTTATACGTCATCTACGCCGGAGCCCAGAACGGCCCCGCTGTACGCCAGGTCCCAGTAGTGTTCTACTCCGTGCTTCTGGAACAGTTCCCTGGCCTGTTTCTCAGTTGGTAGCACCTGGAAAGTGATGGAGATGTGCAGCAGTAAATATAATGTGGATATACAGCAGTTGTTTGTACATATCCTCCGAAAAGGCTTAACCGGTTTTTATGAAATTTTACATGCATATTCAGCAGGTCTGAGAATCAGCTTTCTATTTTCATACCCCTTAGTGATAAGGGTTGTCTACGCCAAACATTATTTTTAATTTAAGGATTTTTTTAAATGTGGCATTAAAAAATACATACAAGCCAAGTAAATAAATAAATAAAATAAAAGTAGCCTAAGTTACTCCTTATTACATCAACTACCTGCCAAAAAAAGTCCCGTTAAAATCGGTCCAGCCATTTCAGACATTAGCCGAAACAAACAGACAGACTGACCGACAAAAATTGTAAAAAATCTTACTTTGGTGTATGTACCGTATTTATATTCATATGCATGTAGTAAATAACGGATATTTCAATATTACAAACAGACATTCCAATTTTATATATATGTATAGATTGAAACTAAGCTTTGTACCTTGAATTTGATTTCTCCAAACGAGCGTTGCTTGGTGACTCCCTCCCAGACCAGCTGGCACGAGTTGGCCACCTCGTTACCTTCCGTGTCCTTCACCATATCCTCCTCCCACTTGATGCGGTGCAGCATCAACCTTTAACATTTAGTTATTTATATCTTTAGATGTGTCAACAAATAATTAAAGTAATTAATAACTTTTGCATGCCAAGTACGATTCCGGCGGGACCTGTAGGGCCCTATATTACTATGTACCTTATGTCCTTGTAAATAGATCATAAATTAGAAGCTCACCGCTTGTACTTGGCCCTCTACTTGCCATATATATATTATGTACCATATGTCCATGCATTCATCATCTGCGTCTTCCTTATCCCATTTATTTGTGGTCGTCGTTATATGTTTTTCTCTTCCATTCATCCCTGTTCGCAGTCATCTCGTTATTTACTTGCTTTCTTACCATATCATCTTTCACACAGACCATCCATCTCTTTTTCGGCCTTCCTCTGCCCTTATAACCATCCACATTCATATGTAACACCTTCCTTAAAATATTATCCTCATTCCTACGCATTACATGTCCATACCATCATAGACGATTACTCTTCAACCTCTCTGACACCGGCGCCACTTTCATACTTCCACAACCATATGTCCATGCAAATAGGTCATAAATTACGACCTTACCGTTTGTACATAGAACATATTATGTACCATATGTCCATGTAAATAGGTCATAAATTAGAACCTCACCGCTTGTACATAGAACATATATATTATGAACCATATGTCCATGTAAATAGGTCATAAATTAGGACTTCACCGCTTGTACATAGAACATATATATTATGTACCATATGCCTATACAAATAGATCATAAATTAGATCCTCACCGCTTGTACTTAGCCCTCTGCTTGGGCCCGCCCTCGACGACGACGACGCAGCAGCCGCGGTGCAGCACCACGCAGCCCGTCATGTGCAGCTGCTGCGCGTTCACCTCCACCTTGAACTTGGCCGACGCAGACTCGAATAGGTCCTTCACCCTGAGAACAAACAAACATACTGACAGGGTCGTTCTTCTCCGATTGATCCCGCGTCCAATACAAACGGAGATCGAAATTACGACGGCCTGAGCCGAGGTGCGAACCTAGCGGTGCTCTCAGACTGAAATTACAGACGGCCTAGTTCTTTTCCGATTGTTTTCCCGTTCAATTCAATTGGGGATCGAAATTACGACGGCCTGAGTCGAAGTTCGAACCTAGCGGTGCCCTAAGACTAAAATTACAGACGGCCTTGTTCTTTTCCGATTGATTTCCCGTTCAATTCAATTGGGGATCGAAATTACCGACGGCCTGAGTCGAAGTTCGAACCTAGCGGTGCCCTAAGACTAAAATTAAAGACGGCCTTGTTCTTTTCCGATTGATTTCCCGTTCAATTCAATTGGGGATCGAAATTACGACGGCCTGAGCCGAGGTACGAACCTAGCGGTGCTCTCAGACTAAAGCTACTAGCGGCCTCGTTCATCTCCACTTGATGCCGCGTCCAATACAAACGGAGATCGAAATTACGACGGCCTGAGCCGAGGTGCGAACCTAGCGGTGCTCTCAGACTAAAGCTACTGACGGCCTCGTTCATCTCCAATTGATCCCGCGTCCAATACAAACGGGGATCGTAATTATGACGGCTCTACCGAGGTTCGAACTAGCGGTGCCCTTACACTAAAGATACTGAGGGGCCTTGTTCTTCTCCGATCGATCGTGACTCTAATTCAAACGGGGATCGAAATTACGACAACTTGAGCCGAAGTTCGAACTTAGAGGTGCCCTCAGAATAACGTTACTGACTGCTTTGTTCGTCTCCTTTTGATTCCCCGTTCAATTCAAACTCAGAACAAAATTACGACGGCCTGATCCGAGGTTGGAACCCCTAGCGGTTCCTTCAGGCTAAAGTCGTATCCGTTAAACAAGAGTTGGCCTTCAGCCGCTCCATAAGTCCTTCCTTTGGTTTGGAGTGCCATCTGCACTCGCCCCCTATCGTCCGGTGAAGCTGTAAAGGCCAGCTGCGGCCAACAGCATTAGAGTAGTCCGAAAAAATGGTCTAGCGATGGTCACACTACCTCATTTCCTATGGTCCCGTATTCTATTCCTCGAAGTACAAACATTTCTATTTATAAGTATGATTTACGATAAGTAACGTCGAGACGGCGATAAGAACAACATGGGCGACTCTCGATGATGATTGATGTGATGGTCTCGCGGGTTCGATTCCTCGCACGGTACAAACATTTATATTCATGAGTATGATTTTTATCGGTCTGGGTGTTCTCTATGTATATTACGTATGTATTTACAAAAAAAACTGTACCTAAGTATTTATATTAAGCGTCTAGTAGCCATAACACAAGCTTAGCTTAGCTTGGGACTAGATGGCGCTGTGTAAATTATCCTGAGTTATTTATGAGAATTACAATTATCAAAATACATTAAAAGTAACATATTACTGTAACAATTACGATGCGACTCGTACAATATACACACCTGTATACAGAGACGTGAACTCCCATACTGGTGTCTTCTCTTATTTTACGATCCACCTGCAATTAAACAAATTTAAAACTCTATTAATACTATATATCGGTATAATATGTAGAAATATCTAATATATATAAAAAATAGATTTTTTTACCATAATGATGGCAATCAAGCATACGGCCCGTCTGATGGTAAACGGTTACCGTAGTCTACGGACGTCTGAAACACCAGCGGTGTAACGCGTTGCCGACCCTTAAGAAACCTTAATATACCCTTCTTGAAACACCCCATGCTGTAGTCTTTATCCTTACCTTCTCCCTCTTCTGTTCCTTGGTGAGTGCCCTCGCTTTGTTCGCCTCTAGATGCGTCTTCTGTCGCTTGGCGATTTGCTCCCTGACTTTTGCCTCGATCGCGGTCGGGTCCTGGACTGCCTCGGTGCCGAGCGCCCGCATCAGATTTGATATCCTGTACATTTTTTATACTACATTGGTGGCAAACAAGCATACGGCCCATCTGATGGTAAACCGTTACCGTAGTTGTTACGGAAGGACTGTATTAAGGCTGGTTTAAAATGAGACACGGTCCTAGGTGAGGTAAAATATGTGTAATCAGCTTGCTATTGTTATATTTACAAACTAGGTATTTGTATCAGTAGTCTAGTACCCAAAACACAAGCTCAGCTTAGCTTGGGACTAGATGGCGCTGTGTTAATTGTTCCAGGTTAACAAAAACAATTTACCTCAACTTTGGCTCGGGTGGCGCCTCCAGCCCCAGCCTGACCTTCTCCTGCTCCTCCTTCCATGCCTCCCTTCTGCTCTGCCGTCGTAACTTCTTTCTTTCCTTCTTCGTGAGGAAGACAGGCATGTACGTTGGTTTTAACGCTTCCGCTATGGACAAAATTGTTGATATTATGATTTTTTTTTCAAAATTCCGTTCAAAATATCTTTATTCATGTAGATCTATTACAGGCTCTTATGATATGTCAAATCTAACGTCAGTTCGTAATGATTTCGAGATGAGAAGAACTGATAAGAAACTCAGCTCGTATTCTTTTCAAATAAATGTTGTACATGTTTATAATACACAGTCATTAAAATTCAAATTTGGGAGAATAGAGTGACCACCAGCATATGCTAATGCAAAAAACAAAAAGTCTAATCAGTGTACGCTACCTGAACAGACCAGTCGCCACAAGCAACACCCGTTCACGAGTATGACGGATGAGCCAGACATCATTGCACTCAACCATATTTGAGGGAGCACATCGACCCGGACCACCACGCCGCCACAAGTTAGAATTTTATATTATATCTTATCATTACATAGTACAAAACAAAGTCGCTATCTGTCCGTCCCTATGTATGCTTAAATCTTTAAAACTACGCAACGGATGTTGAAGCGGTTTTTTTAATAGACAGAGTGATTCTAGAGGATGGTTTATATGTATAATACATGTACATCCGTGCGATTGGAGTGTCTGTTTGTAATATTGAAATAACCGTTTTTTACTACATACAATATAAATACGGTACATACACCAAAATAACATTGTTTACCATTTTTGACAGTCTGTCTGTTTGTTCCGGTTAATCTCTTAAATGACCGATTTCGACGGGACTTTTTGTGGCAGGTAGCTGATGTAACTTAGCCTAAGTTACATCAGCTACCTGCCTGGCAGATGCCAGAAAGTCTTGAACTTGAAAAACTTGACTTTATTTTAGAAAAATAAAGTTCTTTTCCACGCGAAAGAAGTCGCGGGTACAGCTAGTTTCTATATACAAAATCTAATTAGTTTATATTATTAGGTGTTTAAACAACTACACAGAACCATGCCAGTTCATACAACCGCTCACGCATCAACATTTCTTGTTATAAACAAACCAGAGGTCACACAGTTCCCAGTATGAAATGATAACACTTCCAATCATAGTCAATCGTTCGCGTTAGTATATAGATGCATTCACTGTTATTTACATTACGTTCAAAATTATTATATAGTTTAAATCGAGAACAGGTAATCATTTTTTTTATCTAAATATATATAACTCAAAGGTGACTGACGTAGTGATCTATCAACGCACAGCCCAAACCACTGGACGGATCGGGCTGAAATTTGGCATGCAGGTAGATGTTATGACGTAGGCATCCGCTAAGAAAGGATTTTGATTAATTCTACCCCCAACGGGATAAAATAGGGGATGAAAGTTTGCATGACGCTTTGTCAATCAAAGCGAGCGAAGCCGCGGGCAAAAGCTAGTGTAACAGTAATGGTAAACAGCCCGGATGGTAGGTCGTAACCGTGGCATGTATACACGAACAGCACCATGGACATCTCGTCGTCTACTACCCTACTGAATACTTTCTATAACTTCATGTTATCCTGGTACTTTCACTACACCATTTTACCAAACCACTTTGTTTTTGTATTTGTTAGGCAACTCCACTGGAAACTATCTAGAACTTCATGTCATCCTAGTACTTTCTCACTTGTTTATTACATGTATTTCGAAGTAATGAAATTAATCAACAATATCGAACGAAGATGTAGGTGATATAATTTTGTTTTGTATGTATAGTCTGGCCATAAACAGTGTAAAAATAAACAATATATGTACAACTAAGAAACTAAAATTAAAAAGCTTAAAAAATATAATATAATAACTAAAATATATTATTAAAAGGGGTCCTTTTAGGCAAAGTTCCGAAGATACTGGCAGCGTTCCCTCCTTCTTTGTATTGTATTTGTAATGGGTAAACAACGAACAGAACATGCTAGAAACCACTACTCCACTAGAAACTATCTATAACTTCATGTCATCCTGGTACTTTCACTGTACCATTGTACCAAACTTCTTGTTTTTGTAATGGGTAAACAACGAACAGAACATGCTAGAAACCACTACTCCACCGAAAACTATCTATAATTTCATGTCATCCTGGTACTTTCACTGTAGTACCATTGTATCACATTTGTCTATATAAACAGTAATGGTAAAGAAGCGACGTAATCCCGCCGGATGGTAAGTGGTAACCATCCTAACATGAACAGCACTAGAGATATCACGTTATCATGTGACACCCGTTATACTCATATATTGCCCTGATACTGGAGGACTAAGATGTCACGCCTCTTATTCTGTAATTTCACTGCCTAATCTGCACCCTAGAAAGTTTTGAAGTCGCCCTCGGTGGTGCATCGGTTTAGCAACGGTTTTATATCCGAGGGCCCGGGGTGTATTCTGATTATTCTATATCGGTATAGAATAACCATAATACACCCGGGGCCAAAATAAAAAAAAAATGGATCTGTGTATTGTTCATCAGTTGTCTGGTATCCATTAGGCTGTATGGTCTTGTACCTTTGCCTATCCACTTGTGGATAAAATATACCACTACTACTGTCTAGTATCCATAACACAAGCTCTGTGACTAGATGACGCTGTGTTAATACTCTAGTATTAACATTGCACATACTGCCATGATGCGCTCGCCATCCTACTGCGGCTGTGCGCCGTGCAATATTATGAATCTGTGGCGCGTTGCGTTAGCGCGGGAAAAACTATCTACAAGAACTTCTTCTACAGACATTCTTCAATCAGTACTTCTGATCACAAATTTTTATACCATTTCTATACAACTATATATGTTCTATATTTACTTTTATTTTAAACTACTTATATACAACCAAAACTGGCGTATAAATAATGCCCATAATCATATCGCTAACACGCTGTGTGAAATGCCTTACAAAGTAAGTGTGAGCAGCCAGCTGAAATAGGTGAGGCTGAGGTACACACACAGACGAGTTTTTACAAAGTCAAATAATAAAAGATAATCATGAACCTACCATCAACTCCACTCAGTTAACCATAGAGACTTCAGTTAATTAATTTTCTTTCTTTTTCAGAATAAAAAGAATCATAATGTTAGTAGCACTATATATAGCTGCTTGCGTAGTTAACATAATAGGACGGACACACGACTACAACATATATATACCTAAAAACGAAGATATGGATATACGTGTCCGTCGGAGTGTAACAAACAATATTGGAAATACCAACGAGCATGATACAGAAACTAATGAAGTAAGACAAATGAATGATAATGAAGTTTTAAAGGAGAAAATGTACAAATACATTTTGGACTTTATGAACAATTACAATCAACACAATGCAGTCCATTCCAATGAAGTTCATAATGACAAATTAACACATATTGAAGTCGACAGTGATGAATCATTAGTAAATGTTTTGCATGAAGTTTATAATGAGAAACTGAAACAAATTGAAATTGACAGTGATAAAGTAGATTCGGTTGAAGTCGCGAGTGATCATTTAATGAAAACCAAACGATCCCAGGAACCAAGGTTTCTTTGCGCATTTTGCTCGAATTATGTGTGTCCTTCCAATTATATAAGACATAATTTTTTTTGCGTACCTAAAAATAATAATAATACTTTAAATTTTGATTAGATTTTTGATAATTAGAGTTGCGTGCCGGACTCACGCGCCTCATCGCATTTCATACTCCGCTGGGCAATTTTCTTCATCATAGATAACTAGGGTTGCCAACCATACTTTATAATAACGTATCCTACTTTATTTTTGATAATTACATTTTATACTTTTACATAAAGCATGCAAAAATACTTTATTTTCAACCTTTGCTGTGATGCGTAAAACAAAATACTCATTATGGGTACTTAACGATTTATAATTACTGAACGAAATGTTAGATGGCAATTGTGAGTTGTGACATTTGTCACAGCTTTAGTGTTAAAGGCACATAAAAACACATTTTTAAATAAAAAAAAACTTGAAAAATACTTTCTCTTTTCTAATACTTTATTTTTTTCCTACTCAAACCAGTTCACACGTTTATTTTGTCAAAAAAAGTTCGCAACCCTATAGATAACCAACATTTTGCAGCCTGTGCCAAAACAGAGCTACAGATCAAACCTATCGAACTAAAGGCCTATCGCTATCGCATCTGTACTCTCCAAGGTGATGGAGCGTGTAATTAATACACAGCTTCCTGGATACTTGGATACGTGAAATCCGTCATGGAGACGCGCCCGCTCCAGGAGCAACGAGCGGGTACTGCCGGACTACTACCGGCTATAACCCAAAAGTGGGCCTTGGATACTTAGAGGATCACGATCTATTGAGCGACTGCCGGACTCCTACCGGCTAAAACCCCAAGGTGGGCTCCTTGGATACCTAGAGGATCATGATCTATTGAGCGACTGCCGGACTCCTACCGGCTAAAACCCCAAGGTGGGCATTGGATACTTAGAGGATCACGATCTATTGAGCGACTACTGGACTCCTACCGGCTAAAACCCCAAGGTGGGCTCCTTGGATACCTAGAGGATCACGATCTATTCAGCGACTGCCGGACTCCTACCGGCTAAAACCCCAAGGTGGGCATTGGATACTTAGAGGATCACGATCTATTGAGCGACTACTGGACTCCTACCGGCTAAAACCCCAAGGTGGGCTCCTTGGATACCTAGAGGATCACGATCTATTGTGCGACTGCCGGACTCCTACCGACTAAAACCCCAAGGTGGGCATTGGATACTTAGAGGATCACGATCTATTGAGCGACTGCTGGACTCCTACCGGCTAAAACCCCAAAGTGGGCCTTGGATACTAAGAGAATGAAGTACCCAATGTAAAGATTATTACAAATATTGTAAATAGCGCCATCTAGTATTTATAGATCGACCTACTACACTGACTTCGGTCTATAAATACGGAGGTCTGTAGTTGAACTGTTGCCTGCGACTTCGTATGCGTTTCCGTCGTTTTTCGTAAAATAAGTAGCCTATTATATGTATCCTTAATATTTCCTTTCACTGCTCTGCTCCTATTGATCGTAGCGTGATGAAAATCTATATACTATAACCTGCCCGGGAGTATGAAGAATAATTGTACCAAGTTTCGTTAAAATACGTCGAGTAGTTTTTGTTTAATTGTAACGAACATACAGACAGACGGATAAAAAATTTACTGATTGCATTTTTGGCATCAGTATTGATCCCTGATATTTATTTTGGAAATATATTTCAGGTACAGAATTGACCTCTCTACATATCTTTTGTATGATATTCTTCCCGGAACCGCTCCACTAACGTTTGAACGTTATGGTATGATATTAAAGTTCAAATTGACTTTTAAGTATCATTAAGAATCGTTTGTATGGGATTACAGAATAGCTTTATTTTTAGGCATTTTTAGGCAATTTTTTAAATTATTCTCTCCGTAAGAACCATCCTCGTACCTCAAGGAATATTCTAAAAAAAGAATTATCGAAATCGGTTCAGTAGTTCTCGAGATTACCAACCCATTTAGCGATTTATTTTTATATTATAGATATGCCACATGAAAAACGAGGAATTTGAATATTTTTCAAGAAGAGGTTATCTCTTCTCGCAGAACTATGATAAAACATACCGAACTATATTATTGGCATCTCATATATAGAATTCCAGTGTTTTAAATTTCATATTATTTTTTATGGATGATAATGTAATGGTGCACCAGCCTGCGCTAACGGTTTACGCTGGCGGGGCACCAGTGGAGGATGATAAGTTGAGCATGAGGTCAGGTCAGTTAGCACATCGTGGCAAATTCACCAAGAATTTATCACGATGGTTTCCATGGGGAACCGCGTGGAGGTGTATGACATGGTACATTGCTAGCAATAAGATTATCAATCCACATTGCTCACCGCCGTCTTAAACTAAGCTGGGGCCCTTGGGGGGCCCTGGGGCACACAAGAACACGGGGCCCTTTTGGAAAGTAAAAAAAAAGCTCATATAGCTCCAAAGGTATAAGAACAAGAACAGTACTGATTTGTGAAAAAAGTGTAGTGTGCCCGACAAAAATCTTTTGAGAAAAATTGTCAGGCCTTCGGGGGGCCCTGAGAATGGGGGCCCCGTGTGCCCTTATGGTAAAGACGGTATTACTAATCCTCTTTCCCTCCTACGGGGATGGTATTTTGATTTTTTTTTATACGATAAAACATCAGTGTCCAGTCAACCATATGGAACTATAATAATTATTACTCTTTATTGCACCATAATAACAAAAAAAAAAATATACAAACGAAAACAATATTCAGTATATGGGTACAAAAGGCGGTCTTATCGCTTATGAGATCTCTTCCAGACAACCTTTGGGTAGAGGAGAAAAGACAGGTGGTGGATGGCGCATGATGGAGTAGAAACATTAATAATATTAATATATAAAATAATACATATTATAAACATATACATTCTACATAATATATAAATACATAACTTATAAAATAAACATACAATAATATAATACAAATATATACGAGTATAGGTACACAGCAACATATATGCAATTATGAAGGCGACAATATAGTAATAAGAAAGGACAGCAGAAAGAATATTTACTGAGAGAGATAGTGCGATTTCACAGCGTTCTTGAAAATGGTTAGTGATTGCGGACTCCGTATGGAGGATGGTAGTGAGTTCGACAGTCGCACGGCGCGCACAGAGAATGAGTAATAATAATCTCAGGACAATTCACACAGCGCCATCTAGTCCCAAGTTAAGCTAACTAAAGCTAGTGTTATGGATCCTAGACAACTGATACAAATACATAGATTTTTTTCCCAAATACATAATATACATAGAAAACATCCAGACCGACACAAACAATCATACTCATGAACAAATGTTTGTGCCGTGCGAGGAATCGAAGCCGCGAGCATCGGAAGTTAAGCGGTGTGCTAAACCGCTAGACCAGCGAGGCTACGGAACCATATCGTTCAATACCAGTTCAAACAATCAATTTTTTTTATTACAAACAAACCAAAGGTCGCACAGTTCCTAGTATCAATTGATAACACTCTATCACACACTTCACTCGTTCATGCTATTTATTCAAATTGAGATATTGTCTATTATTTAAATTTGGTTAAAAATTAAACTGTACAGTTATATTTAACCATCTACCCGACGCTTGTGAAATCACTCTATCTATTGGTAAAAACTGCATTAAAAACCGTTGCGTAGTTTAGAAGATATCCGCGAAGAGACAGCTGAAGTGACCTAATTTTATACTATGTAAAGATATCGAAATCAGGTAAGCAATTTTTTAATATAATTGTATTGGCAAACAATCGACGGTAGATGGTATGTGGTGACCGTCAACTACAGAGGGAAGGGGATCGTTAGTAATGTGGACTAATGACCACATTACTATCAAAGTACCAAGTCATTGTTGACCTCTACGGGTTTCCCCTTGGAAAACAAATTCTTGGTGAATTTGTCACTATGTGACCTGACCTCGTGTTCATCCTATCATCCTCCACTGGTGCCCCTACAGCGTATACCGTGAGCACCATGGGTGCACCATACAACTATCATACATAAAATAAACACGACTGATAACGTCATCACTGTACCAGACACTTTCAGTTCTACAATATATATAGTGTCAACCGTCGCCTATATACATGAACAGTATCAAACACATCACCTAACTGCCTGTAACTTCATGTTATCCTGGTACTTTCATTTATCACACTCCTTGTTTTATAACAGCAAGGAAGTAACATGACTTCATACTCATCCTATCATCCTCCACTGGTGCCCTTACAGCGTATACCGTCAGCACCATGGGTGCACCATACAACTACCATACATAAAATAAGAACGACTGATAACGTCATCACTGTACCAGACACCTTCGTTCTACAATATATAGAGTGTCAACCGTCGCCTATATACATGAACAGAACTAAAGACATCACCTAACTGCCTGTACCTTCATGTTATCCTGGTACTTTCACTGTCTATTATTTTATAAGAGGATGAAACTGATCTGAATTCATGCTCATCCTATCATTCTCCAATGGTGCCCATGATGATCTATTATGACCTTCGGTTCTATAATATATATAGAGAGTCAACCGTCGCCTATATACATGAACAGTACTAAAGACATCACCTAACTGCCTGTAACTTCATGTTATCCTGGTACTTTAATCTGTTAGTGCACCAAGTTTTTAGATTCCGTTTTTTCAAGAAGGATTTAAGGTTACTTAAGGTCTGGCAACCCGCTCCTGGAGGGGGGGAGGGGAGGAATTGTTAGTAGTGTGGACTCATGACCCCATTACTGGCAATGTGCCATGTCAGGTTGACCTCCACGCGGTTGCCTCTGGAAACCATCGTGATAACTTCCTGGTGAATTGGTCACGATGGGCTAACTGACCTGACCTCATGTTCATCTTATCATCTTCCACTGGTGCCCCGCCAGCGTAAACCGTTAGCGCAAGTGGGTGCACCATTACATTATCATCCATAAAAAAATACCCGCTCCTAGATGTCCATAGGATACGGTAACTATTTACCATTAGACGGGCCGTATGCTTTGCCACCATCGTAGTATAAAAAAAGTGGGCATAGAGACTTCAGTTAATGAATTTTGATTTTTTTTTTCAGAATATAAAGAATCATAATGTTAGTAGCACTATATATAGCTGCTTGCGTAGTTAACATAATAGGACGGACACACAACTACAATATATATATACCTAAAAACGAAGATATGGATATACGTGTCCGTCGGAGTGCAACAAACAATATTGGAAATACCAACGAGCATGATACAGAAACTAATGAAGTAAGACAAATGAATGATAATGAAGTTTTAAAGGAGAAAATGTACAAATACATTTTGGACTTTATGAACAATTACAATCAACACAATGCAGTCCATTCCAATGAAGTTCACAATGACAAATTAACACATATTGAAGTCGACAGTGATGAATCATTAGTAAATGATATTGAAATTCATTATAATGAAAACTTGAAACAAATTGAAGTTGACAGTGATGAAGCAGATCCGGTTGAAGTTGCAAATGATCATATAATAAGAACTAAACGATATTTGGAGAGTAATGGTCAAACTAACAAACGGAACAGGGACTCGGCACCTGGTTTGACAATTATGAACGCATGTTTCTTATGCGTGAGCTTTGGATGCGCCAAAAATTACAGGAGAGTTGGCAATCGATGCATACCAACTGACAATGATTACTGATATTAATTTCCTAGCCTCGATGGTCTAGTGGTTTAGCACACAGCTTTATTATCCGATGGTCGCGGGTTCGATTCCTCGCATAGTACAAACATTTGTATTCATGAGTATAATTGTATCGGTCTGGGTGTTTTCTATTATACGTAGAATTTATCTACAAAAAAAAATGTATCCATGTATTTATATCAGTTGTCTAGTACTCATAACACAAGTTCTGCTTAGCTTGGGACTAGATGGCGCTGTGTGAATTGTCCCGTGATATTATATATTTTATTATATTTTATAGAATTAAGTATTATTTTGTAAGTACATTCATTATTTGATGGATTCATTTTTTTTTATTCCGCCACCATTGGCATGTGTGAGAGCACACATAGTGACTGCATATATTGAATCATACAATAGAACAAAAAGATATGTTCTTTTGTTATCACTAAGATAGCTTTATTTACTACTAGCTACTCGCCCTGACTTCGCACGGGTATACATATATACATATAAATAACATTGGAGTGTCTGTTTGTAATATTGAAATAACCGTTTTTTACTAAATGCATATGAATATAAAAATGGTACATACACCAAAATAACATTTTTTACAATTTTTGTGTCTCTCTGTCTGTCTGTTTATTTCGGCTAATCTCTGAAATGGCTGGGCCGATTTTGACGGGACTTTTATTGGCAGGTAGCTGATGTAATAAAGAGTAACTTAGGCTACTATTATTTTAGAAAAATAAAGTTATTTATTTATTTATAATTACACATGCATATACATAAATTTAATTTAATAGTTAACCTTTTTAGTGCCGGGAGCCGATATATCGGCTACTGCTACACTTGCGAAAAGTGCCAGAGCCGATATATCGGCTCGCGCCCTGTAGTACTACTCGCATTGCGGGAGAACTTTATCTCAAAATAAATTTGTAATGCGTTATAAATGATGAAATGATGATGATGACGACGATGATTTTATTTTCTTTAGTTATCTTTACGTACGCTGTCTCGTGTGTGGTGGCCCCACTGAAAATCAGTACTGTGGTATATGTATACCACAGTATAAATGCTGAGTGGGAGTCACATGTTTTAGCTTTTAAGTTGTATAGGAAATAAGATATATATCATCTAAGAATACTGTAATGCTGAATATATATATATAATTCTCGTGTCACAGTTTTCGTTCCCATACTCCTCCGAAACGGCTTGACCGATTCTCATGAAATTTTGTGAGCGTATTGAGTAGGTCTGAGAATCGGCCAACATCTAATTTTCATCACTCTAAATGTTAGGGGTAGTCCACCCTTACATTTTTTTTTATTTTAAGGCAAAACAACGTTTACCGTGACAGCTAGTTTATGTACATTTGTATGTATTATTTATATATTAGTTGTGTTGTTATTTGCACCCCACCATTTTGTATATACCTTCACCGTCTACCTAAAGGTTGCCTGTAAGAAATTGCTTAGCTATAAGCCCGCCATTGTACATGTTCGAATAATGATATATTTTTAACATTAACTTCCAATAATAGGTACTGGGAATCAAAAATGCACACTGACCTTGTCGCCAAACATGCACAATCTTCGTTCCCGGGAACTTTCGGCAGAATTACCACACTGCACTGCTTTTCATGAACTCATTATGATACACATACAGTCTTTTCTTGTTTTGTTGTATTTTATTTGAAAATTATGACAGAATTATTTTAATATTGGTAAATGTATTTAATATTGGTAATATGATTGGTAAAACTTACTACACGGTTGGTGATTTCCTGACTGATACATTGACGTAAAGACAATTGATTAATGACTATCGGTATGATGACGTAGTACAGTAATTTTATTTCATTATACATTAATTGTACCTACAATTTGAAATTTTGCACACCTCTTACGAGGTTAATGTACGGATCTCAACAACATATTTATAACACCTTATTGTTTACCTACATTTGGCAAATAAAGTATTATTATTATTATTATTATTATATTGAATTAATGATTTGATGCGACCTTGCGACAATGGCGGCAATGCGATTTTTTTTTTTTAAGTGCACGGCTATAGACTCCCAATATGAGGCAAAGACCAGCGCGAACAGTACATATGATTGTATATATATATTTATATTAATTAATATTTTTATGCTCTGGTACAATAAAGTGTATAAATGAATAAAAGTTATTAAAAAACACTCACTGGGCGGCCGGAGTTGTTGCGGGTGCTCCACTAAATTGGTGATGGCGTCTTCGTTGAGGTTGTCTATGATGTCGTCATCGCCGGTGTTACACGCGTCGACCCGTTGCTCGCCCGTCCGGGTATCCGTATCCGGTTTCCGTTTGCATTCCCTTTCATCCGCCGTCATCAGGATGACGCTGTCCCACCTGACACGTGTATTTATTATAATCATTAACTGTAACTTGGTGGTGTAGCGGTTTAGTTCTGTCGCGGGTTCGATTCATCGCACGGTACAAACGTTTGTATTCATGAGTACGATTGTTTGTATCATTCTGGGTGTTTTTTATGTATATTTTTTATAGGGATGATAATGGAATGGTGCACTTGTCTGTGCTAACGGTATACCCTGGCGGGGCACCAGTGGAGGATGACAAGATGAACATGACAATGTAAATAAACTGTCCTTAAAAAAAAATTAATTCAATTGAGTTTCTTGCCAGTTCATCTCAATTGAATCTGCAGTATACAATTTTTCTCTGCACCACCTATGGTTGCCTGGTAGAAAATGCCGCATGGTGTTAAGTCCGCCAAATGTACTCTACTATATATTATATTGTGTGCATTAAAGTTAAATAAATAAAAAAAAAAATATAGATTTGAGATAAACTGGCAAGAAACTGGGCGGCAGGGGAAATATATACATACAAACTTGACGTTCATAAACGGCTAAAATGTCCTACATGAATAAATGATTTTTTATTTTGATTAAGCTTATATGTATGTACCAAGATACAAATAAAAATTATTATCTGTCTATCTATGTGAAAAGGCAGTTAGATAAGTGTTATCATTCGATAGCCTAACATATACGGGCAGTCTGAGAGCACTGGGTAGGTAGGTAGGGGTTCGAACCTCGGCTCAGGCCGTCGTAATTTCAATTCCCGTTTGAATTGAATAGAAAATCATTTATTCAAATAAACTTAATTTAAGCACTTTTGAATAGTCATAACATTTTTTTTTATCTACCGCTCGTTCAGAAAGCTGTCTCATCACAAGAAGAACGAGCGAGAAACTTGCGTGTTGCTCTTTTAAATAATCATTGTAACTTTACATTCCGAAATTGAAACGTGCGAATACAAGCCACCAACTAGCACCAATTTATCAGATATTAAGTACATAATATGATTAAAACAGTCGTAGTGATAAGAGCAGACCAGTTCCTACAAGCAGCACTCGTTCACGAGTATGACGGATGAGCCAGCCATCACTGCGCTCGACCATATTTTAGGGAACCCAATGACCCGGCCCATAATTGAACGGGGGATCGATCGGAACGTGTAAAGGTAGTTATTAGGTAAGAGTTACCATTCGATGTCGGGCACCCGGTCCGAGTCGGGCGTATCCGCTGCGAGTAGAGCTAACTTTGTGGCCGACGAGATACCAGTCTTGCGTGCAATTTGTGATATTTCATTCTGTAACTTCTCTAACTGCGCCTGAAATTAAAAAAAAAATTGATTCTAGTAATCAGGCCTAGGTGGCCTGCTAGGCCTGATTACACGACAAGTATCTGCAGATTCTGCCAAACTGAAGAGGAAACGCCGCTTCACATCCTATGTGGTTGTAGCCCACTCATGCATAAACGAAATATCTCCTTTGGAAAGTTTACACTCTATCCCGAGGAGATAAAAACCATCGCTCCTAAGAATATCCTTCAATTCTTGTCCCTGACGGGTCTAGGTAGCGAACTCTGAAAAGGGCGAGCACAATAGATCTATGTAGGTCGCAGTGCTACAGGTGCTACACATCTGACAATAGCCCAAACAACCCAATAAAAAAAAAAACAGGTGGCCTGAAGTCGGCTGAAGTTGCCCGGCCCACCCCCTTCTACCGCAGCCACTCCGCCATCTGCTGGCTCGTGCTTGTTTACCATTTAAATTACATATAACCCTCCTGAAGTCGGCGGAAGTTGCCTGAACCAGCATCTTTCAACCACAGTAACGCCGCCATCTGCCGGAACTTGCTGGACTCGTGCATGTTTACCATTCAAATTACATAAAATCCTCCTGAAGTTGCCTGAAGTTGCCCGGCCCACCACCCTTTTGCCGCAGCCACACCGCTATCTGCCAGAACTGGCTGGACTCGTGCTTGTTTACCATTTAAATTACATATAACCCTCCTGAAGTCGCTTGAAGTTGCCTGAACCACCAACCTTCATCCGCAGCCACTCCGCCATCTGCCAGAACTTGCTGGACTCGTGCTTGTTTACCATTCAAATTACATAAAATCCTCCTGAAGTTGCCTGAAGTCGGCTGAAGTTGCCCGGCCCACCACCCTTTTGCCGCAGCCACACCGCTATCTGCCAGAACTGGCTGGGCTCGTGCTTGTTTACAATTCAAATTACATAAAATCCTCCTGAAGTCGGCTGAAGTTGCCTGAACCACCAACCTTCATCCGCAGCCACTCCGCCATCTGCCAGAACTTGCTGGGCTCGTGCTTATTTACCATTCAAATTACCTAAAATCCTCCTGAAGTTGGCTGAAATTGCCTAGTCCACTAACCTTCATCCGCAGCCGCTCCGCCATCTGCCGGAACTTGCCGGGCTCGTGGAACCGCAGCGCCCTCTTGGTGCGCGTGGGCGGCTTCAGCTGCACCCTGGAGTCCATCCAGCCCGCATCCGCTGGCGGCTCTGAACTCACTTGACCGGACAGCTGCGCGCGGAACTCTTCACGTCTCTTGGCGCGGATGTTTGCCTACCAAATCGAATGAAATCTTTATTCATGTAGGTCTATTATAGACTTATGATATCTCAAATCTACCGTCAGTTCGGACAGCATACAAGCTAAGAAGATCTGATAAGAAACATATTTCATATTCTCTGTTAATTTTATAATGCCTTTATACGTAGTGATGTAAATTTTTTAAGAATTAGTCTATTGTTATTAGTGAAAGCCTGTCAGTGGCTTACTGTGACATATATATTGATTTTATTTAAGATGTACTTGAATAGCCTTGGTTTTCCTTTAATAAATAAATAAATAAACTCAGCTCTTGTTCTTTGTAAAAGAACTTGTATCTACATGATTACAAAAATACGCTATATAAATTGTTTAATTTGCAGTGTCCTGTGAGGGCCCTAGTCATCATGCATATGTTGTTTTTACTCAATAGCAGTAGTCTATTGGACTATTTGTTCGAGTAGCCCGATATTATGCCTTTAAAATGTACCAATCTGAAGTCTTACCTTAAGTGTTGGAGCAACATGGGTGAGTTGGACCCTCTTACCGGTCGTGTCTATGGTACGACCTTCAGTATCCAAGATTAGGGGAGCAGGCCCTGACCCTCCAGCTGACGATAAGGCTCCACCTGGGGAAAGATTTTTTTTTAATTGCAACTTGCACTTGAACTTGGTGCTTCAGACGTCCATTGGCTACGGTAACCATTTACCATCAGATGGGCCGTATGCTTGATTGTCATGATAATAAATAATATTAAAAAAAATCTAGTAATGAAGGAATATTTCAAATAAGTTTTAATCATGTTAATGTACCAGCTAATTTCCTCTGTATCCTCGCCTGCAGCTCCGCTATCTTCCTCTGCTTCTCCAACTCCTCTTGACTGACTGGTACTGCAGCTGGAAAAAAAAAATAAAGAATTAAAAAATGTATCTATGTATTTATATAAGTTGTCTAGTACCCATAACACAAGCTCTGCTTAGCTTGGGATTATTATTATTAACTAATCATTTGAAATGTTTTTATTTATATATAGAATATTAGATTTTGTAAATTCACAGTTCAATTAAAATTAAAATACAAAAAATCACAGTGTAGAGCAGCGATAGGTTTAAAATACAGCATAGGTTTGATAGAGCTGGGAGACGGGACAGTTATTGGGTTAAAAAATTAATACACACCAGGTTTAGAATACTGACCAGGTTTAGAATACGGGACAGGTTTGATGACGCTGTGCGGCGAAATGGCGTCGTTACGGGTTATATATATTCTATACTGACCCTGTTTTGAATACAGAACATGTTCATCACACATGTTCCCAGCGTCGAGAGACGCTGAGCAACGGAATGGCGTGGTTACGGGATAAGTACTTTTAATACTGCCCAGGTTTAGAATACAGCAGAGGTTTGTTGATGCTAGGTGGTGAGATAGCGTTGCTACGTTATAAATACATTAATTACTGCCCAGATTTAGAATACAAGACAGGTTTGATGACGCTGTGCGGCGAAATATAATATATTCTATACTTTTGAATACAGAACATGTTCATCACACATGTTCCCAGCGTCGAGAGATGCTGAGCAACGGAATGGCGTGGTTACGGGATAAGTACTTTTAATACTGCCCAGGTTTAAAATACAGCAGAGGTTTGTTGATGCTAGGTGGTGAGATAGTGTTGCTACGTTATAAATACATTAATTACTGCCCAGGTTTAGAATACAAGAGAGGTTTAATGACGCTGGACGTGGGTTGAACATGCTACGGGATAACTACTTTTAATACTCGACAACCTCGGTGGTCTAGCGGTCTAGCACACCGCTTTACGTCCGATGGTCGCAGGTTCGATTCCTCGCACGGCACAAACATTTGTATTCATGAGTATGATTGTTTGTGTCGGTCTGGGTGTTTTCTATGTATAATATGTATGTTTTCGAAAAAAAAAAATCTATGTATATATCGTCAGTATTCTATGACTATGAAAGATATGTATCAGTTGTCTAGTACCTATAACACAAGCTTTAGCTAGCTTAACTTGGGTCTAGATGTCCTGAGCTTATTATTATTATTATAATAATACTGCCCAGGTTTAGAATACAGCACAGATTTGATGACGCTGGGGGAAAAATAGAGTTGCTACGTTGGAAGTACTTTTAATACTCACCAGGTTTAGAATACAGCACAGGTTTGATGACACTGGGCGGCGGGATGGCGTTGTTCTGTTGCATTTGAACCTTGATCTGTTGGGCGGCCGCCACAGCTACATTCACTCCAGGCTTGTGGTCGCCCTTCATTGCTATTAGTGCTCTTTTACGTTCCTCAATTTCTTTTTGAGCATTTGCCATCATAAGCTGGGAATGATAGAAATTATTAGGGTAATATACTCTTTAGATAGAATTACCTTACCATTCATTTACACCTATATGTTAGCTTTTTGGTTTTATAGTTGAATAGATTAACCTAGCTTGTTGATCTTGTATTTTAAAATATAAGTTACAGATTACGATATTAGAATAGAATAGAATCACACATCTCAACACAATAAAAACGATGCCGACAGCTGCCTATAAATTATTATATAAGATAAACATAAGTAAAAACAATTCATTAAATTAGAGATGAAATCATTATAAACAAAAAAAAAATATATAAAAGAACAACATAGTAACAAACAAATAAATAATAATAATAAATAATAATAATAAAGTAAAATGCATTTCCTATCCACCACTGCGGAGCATCGCCACCGCGTCACTGTGTACTGATGTGTGTGTAAGGGGCCCATCTCAGCATTATGCCATGACAAAAGCCACGACGCTGATTTTCAGTGGAACCCGGAATAAGTGATTCGGGATATTGATTGCATACTTGAAAAAAGCAAACAATTTTGCCATGTTGGTTTTATAGTTCATTGACAGCCGTACTGGTCTAGTGGTTTAGCACACCACCTCATTTCCAATGTTCGATTCCTCGCATGGTACAAACATTTGTATTTGTGAGTATGATTGTTTGTATCAGACTGGGTGTTTTCTATGTATAATATGTATGTATTTATGAAAAAAATATATATCTATGTATTTGTATCCGTTATCTAGTACCCATAACACAGGCTTTAGCTAGAGTAACTTGGGTCTAAATGGCGCTGTGTGAATTGTCCTGAGATTATTATTATTATAGTTAAAATAAAATAATTTCCAAGTTATTGGTTTTACAGTTGAAAAGAATGAATTACAAGTTACCTTAATTCGATCTGCACTGAGCACAGACATCTTAGATCCCACCGTCTCCCCATCAGGCATGATCGACGGTAATGGAAGTGCCTCCACTCCGTTCCCAAGTTTCTTCTCCTTCTCTTCTCTATCATGCCTTTTCTCTTCTTCATGTTTTTCTCTATCGTCATGCCTTGTTTTCTTTATATCCCTGTCTCGGTCACTCGGTTCGTGTTTACGTTTCTGTGGTTTTGATGAAGTCACCAGTTCTTGGGCTAGTGCGAGGACTTTGTCCGTTAATTTACTGGCTTTCTTTGGATCTATGTGTGATGATATTTTGTCTATGAACTTTCGACGTTCGTAACTGGAACAATAAATTATATGACAATGAAAAATAAAAAAATGTTTATTTCTTTAAAACATAATTTCTATTTATATTATAATTTTCCTGCACTTGCAACTACTGCCTACAGATAAACCCAGACAGGAGTTTTGCAGGACAGTGATTGTAGATAATGTAAAATTGGAAAAATTAAACTTTTTATCTATTTATCTATCTATAACATTCTAGTTCCTATCTCTAAATTCAAGAAGATTGTAAACATGTACATTAAAAAAAATACAAGCTGTGTTTCTTGTCAGTTCTTCTCATCTCGAAATCATTCCGAACTGACGATAGATTTGACATAAGAGTCTGTAATAGACCTACATGAATAAAGATATTTTGAATTTGAATTTGAATTTGAAATCAATTCTATTACAATAACATAGTGTTGGGATGACCTGGTAAGCAGAGAAATGCCTGTGTGAGCTACATCCCGCTCTTACATATACATTGTCATATGTGTTTGTTTTTTTTTTAGATTATTTATGACATTAGATACCTAATATTATAAACTAAAGCAAAAGTTACTTATTAGAAGTTAAGTATAATAAGTAATAATAAGTTTACAAATGGCTTGTCTGTATTAATATCCATATGTTAGTTTGAATATATATGAGATATATTAATTATGTGTATGTATGTATATGTATGAGTATAATTTTTCGGCTAAAGGTTTCGGGTAGGCTAATCTCTGAAATGGCTGGATCGATTTTTTTGGTAGGTAGCTGATTTACTAAGGAGTAACTTCGGCTACTTTTATTTTAGAAAATTTAAGTTAAATTCTACTCATACGAAGTCGCAGGAACAGCTAGTAAATAAATAAATTAAGTAGTAACACCTCTTGCTTTTGTTTCATTAAAGAGTTTTTACGTTTCATCATATGAACTAAAGAGCAAAAGACCTGCGAACTAGTACTGCGTAGTTCATCTTTGTGAGCAATCATACGAACTATATTAGCGAACTATACAAACCTAATAGCTATAATTTAACAACTACACCACTTACCCGTTGGTGAGACAAGAAGAAACAGTCGAAAGTAACGAGTTGTCAGACTTTCCAATAGTTCGGTATATAGCGCGGTCTAGTGACGACCGCAGCTCGTCAACCTCCCGCCGTGATAGCTGTAGCGCCATCACAACAGAAACACTTACAAATTAGATTCAAAACGATATTATTCACAAAACAATTTCGAGGTTATATCATTGATACTTAACTGATCAAATGCACAGATCAGACGGGATGTGTTCAGTCACTATTGTGATAAATCAAATGTAAATCCACATGGCTATCATAAAATAACACAAACAAACGTTTAAATTATTTTCATATTTGTATATTTTCAAGTTTCAATAAATGGATTATGAATTTCGCAAATACGATAAATAGATTGACGTAAACAAGGATAATCTGTACAGCACAGAGTAATCATTACCTCTCGTCAACTATTCATATTTGCCTTTTAATTAAATACCGATACCTACCGATATCAGGTGTTCCGTTATTTATTTAAATACGATATTATTACATTAAAACTTATTTATGCGTTTATTATTAAAATACAAGAGTTATAGAATATTTTTTATCAAGTAGATATTTTATGACATTGATAGTTATTTGACAAAACCTGCTCAGACTGTTCACATTGCCAATTTTTTTAATTAATCTGTACTATTTTTGTTTACCATCCTTTCTTCTGCCTTCGTTAATTTGTATCAAAATTAAGAAAGGAAATCTGTTATTATTGCGTTTTAGTAAATAGATAATTTATAAAACAATTTAAACTCTTTCAATTTTGTGTGATACCTGTAGAGCTTTAGTGTTATAACCTCAAAATGTCTGACGACGAAGATATTCCGGTTAAGAAGAGCAAGCAGATTCATTATGGGTCGCTGGAGGAGCAGGAGAAGGCGCGGCTGGCAGCCCTGGCTGCTGCCGCGAAGGAAGGAGTCGAGGAAACTGGCGGCCAAGACTTGGGAGATATACAAATCTCAAGCGGTATGCCCTTTATTTTAATAAAAATTGCACATCATTTGACTGACTACTTGAATGAAACTGAAGTGGATGGTGATATGCGAGACAAGCATGTTCCATTTCTTGTGGTGTTTTTTTTAATGATGCTTCTGCCTGCGCTATCGGTTTACGCTGGACAGTGTATGATGATAATATGAGCATGAAGTCAGACATTCTCCAAGAATTTGTCATGATGGTTTCCAGGATCTCAACCTGACCTGGTACATTGCTAGCATTGTGCCATTGAAGTTGCCAATTTCTGGCCTAAACTTATCGCTGTAGCACTAAAGGGAAATGCAATTGCCACTGGTTATATTTATAAAAACATTACAAGGGTTACATCAGCTGTGTCCCTATGCTATAAAAAGAGTGCACCATACCATGATCATCCATAAAAAAACATGTCTTAATAGACTATATTGTTTCCAGAATACATGGAGCTGGAGGAAGAAATGTCCAGGGACAAGAAGGCGCTGCTCGAGGAGTTCGAACGGAGACGGAAAGCTCGTCAGCTGAACGTTTCAACCGATGATGATGAGGTATGGATATGACCATGCAGAAATCAGTTAAGCAATGCAATTTTTTTTTTTTATTCATTTACACACAAATTTATACAACATAATATAAAAACAATAAGCCGCAAAACTGCTCAGCAGTTTGTCTGCAGCAAAAGCGCTTAACTTAATACTTATTTCTAATCTATTCACACACACATTCATTCACATAAACACATTACTGTAGAACCAGGTATCTTATGCCACACAATGTTTGTTTACAAAAAGTTTAAGAAGGAGCTTACAAAACTCCTTCTTAAACTTACTTTACTTATTACAAAATTTTAATAATTTCTTTTTAAATAATTTTTTAAATTTTTTTTCCTTGTTAATCAGGAAGTCGACTAAGTCTAAGCATATTTGTTGACTGCTGCTTGATTTGTAGGAGAAGAGGTCAGGAGCACCTCATTGTTAATCTTTTGAGGGGCCGTTTAAGTATTACGTAAGCACTATGGGGGATGGGGTGTCTGTGCTTTGCTTATTTTGGATTACGTCTCCGGAAGTTATTTACTTTTTTACATTAATGATAAACCTCACATTGTCTTTGCAAAAAAAAAAAAATGAGAGCCTAACTTGTTAACTTTACAAATTTATACATGTGTTTAGGCACTAACTGTGGTCCTGTTTATTAATTTAACCTTTATTGTCCATATATTACAATTTTAATTAATATTTTAAGTTAGGATTAATTTATTTTCTTTATATATATGATCCCATGTGGGTTTTCCTTGTCCCAGTTTTCCCCGGCCACTTCTTTAATGTCATCAGACCATTTTTTTCTCTGTCGACCTCCTCGCCTTTTCCCTGTCGGTCCCAGCCACTTTGTTAGTTGGTGAGTCCACCTTTTGTCTTTGTACCTAGCTACGTGACCTGCCCATTTCTATTTCTGTCTTAGGCAATGTTGAAATGCATATTTTATTTTTGTCTTCTCGCGAATGACTGTGTTCCTTATTTTATGTATTATGCGTAGCTTTAGTTCTTCTCTTCATTGCGTGCTGGCAGGACAGGACTTTGTTTTTTAAATTTTCCGTGATCCTGTTAGTCTATATTTTTTTATTTTTTTCCCTTCATTTATTTGCGCAGGTGCGTCGAAGTCTTCGGCAGCTGGGTGAGCCCGTGTGTCTCTTCGGGGAGGGACCTGCAGAGAGGAGAGTACGACTTCGAGACCTGCTCAGCTAGTAAGTGTAATATTAAAATCATGTACTTTGTAGTAGCTGTAGAACGTCACGCAAGTGTCTTTGCTCTTTCTTCTTGTGATGACAAAAAAAAAATATTTCTATTAGCTGTCTTGTAGCTCTGCTTAGTTTAAGACTAGATGGCGCTGTGAATTCTGCCTTCAATGAGCGATAATAGATAGATCAATAGATTCTATAGTAGATGTAAATAATTAAATTTCCACCACAGCCTGGGTGAGGATGCAATCCACAAGAAGCTGGAAGAAGAGGAGGCTCGCATAGAGAGAGACAGGGGCCGCGAAGGTACCTGGTATCACGAAGGACCACCAGAGCTGAGAGACGCTAGGCTTTGGATCGCGCGGTACTCGTTACCAAGAGCCAAACGAAGGTTAGTTGTGTCGGGGCATGCTCGAATTCGTAGATCTGAGGGAAGGGCATTGTAAGTAATGTGGACTCATGACCTATTACTAACAATGAACCATGTCAGGTTGACCTCGACGCGGTTCCCCCTGGAGACCATCGTGATAAATTCCTGGGGAATTTGTCACTATGTGCTAACTGACCTGACCTCATGTTCATCTTATCATCCTCCACTGATGCTCCGCCAGCGTAAACCGTTAACGCAGGTGGGTGCACCATTCCATTATCATCCATAAAAAAATACGTAGATCTCTCGCTACCAAATGTAGTTTCCAAAATTGGGGAGCAGCGAGAGGTAATGGCTGGCAGTAAGCTCGGAGTTTGGTGAGTTGCGCGAAGTCTTGGCTGGGGGTAAGCTCTGCTGCTCTCTTTTGCGAGGTAAGCTCCTAGGCAAAGAGCTACTTAGGTGGCGGAGAGGGAGCTGGAGATGTAGTTCGGAGTTTGGTCAGTAGCGAGAGGACTTGGGTGGCAGTAAGCTCCTTCTGTAAGAAAGTTACCTCGCCAAAGATGGCGAGGAAGATAGAGCGGGAGATATAGCTCAGAGTTTGGTCAGTAGCCAGAGGACTTGGGTGGCAGTGAACTCCTTCTGTAAGAAAGTTACCTCGCCAAAGATGGCGAGGAAGATAGAGCGGGAGATATAGCTCAGAGTTTGGTCAGTAGCGAGAGGTCGTGGGTGGCAGTAAGCTCCTTCTGTAAAAAAGTTACCTCGCCAAAGAAGGCGAGGAAGATAGAGCGGGAGATATAGCTCAGAGTTTGGTCAGTAGCGAGAGGACGTGGGTGGCAGTAAGCTCCTTCTGTAAAAAAGTTACCTCGCCAAAGATGGCGAGGAAGATAGAGCGGGAGATATAGCTCAGAGTTTGGTCAGTAGCGAGAGGACGTGGGTAGCAGTGAGCTCCTTGTGTAAGAAGTTACCTCGCCAAAGAAGGCGAGGAAGATAGAGCGGGAGATATAGCTCAGAGTTTGGTCAGTAGCGAGAGGACTTGGGTGGCAGTAAGCTCCTTCTGTAAGAAAGTTACCTCGCCAAAGATGGCGAGGAAGATAGAGCGGGAGATATAGCTCAGAGTTTGGTCAGTAGCGAGAGGACTTGGGTGGCAGAAAGCTCCATAAGTAACAAAGTTACCACCCCAAAGAAGGCGAGGAAGATAGAGCGGGAGATATAGCTCAGAGTTTGGTCAGTAGCGAGAGGACGTGGGTAGCAGTAAGCTCCTTCTGTAAGAAAGTTACCTCGCCAAAGAAGGCGAGGAAGATAGAGCGGGAGATATAGCTCAGAGTTTGGTCAGTAGCGAGAGGACTTGGGTGGCAGTAAGCTCCTTCTGTAAGAAAGTTACCTCGCCAAAGATGGCGAGGAAGATAGAGCGGGAGATATAGCTCAGAGTTTGGTCAGTAGCCAGAGGTCGTGGGTGGCAGTAAGCTCCTTCTGTAAAAAAGTTACCTCGCCAAAGAAGGCGAGGAAGATAGAGCGGGAGATATAGCTCAGAGTTTGGTCAGTAGCGAGAGGACGTGGGTAGCAGTAAGCTCCTTCTGTAAGAAAGTTACCTCGCCAAAGATGGCGAGGAAGATTGAGCGGGAGATATAGCTCAGAGTTTGGTCAGTAGCGAGAGGACGTGGGTAGCAGTAAGCTCCTTCTGTAAGAAAGTTACCTCGCCAAAGAAGGCGAGGAAGATTGAGCGGGAGATATAGCTCAGAGTTTGGTCAGTAGCGAGAGGACTTGGGTGGCAGTAAGCTCCTTCTGTAAGAAAGTTACCTCGCCAAAGATGGCGAGGAAGATAGAGCGGGAGATATAGCTCAGAGTTTGGTCAGTAGCGAGAGGACGTGGGTGGCAGTAAGCTCCTTCTGGAAGAAAGTTACCTCGCCAAAGATGGCGAGGAAGATTGAGCGGGAGATATAGCTCAGAGTTTGGTCAGTAGCGAGAGGACGTGGGTAGCAGTAAGCTCCTTCTGTAAGAAAGTTACCTCGCCAAAGAAGGCGAGGAAGATTGAGCGGGAGATATAGCTCAGAGTTTGGTCAGTAGCGAGAGGACTTGGGTGGCAGTAAGCTCCTTCTGTAAGAAAGTTACCTCGCCAAAGATGGCGAGGAAGATAGAGCGGGAGATATAGCTCAGAGTTTGGTCAGTAGCGAGAGGACGTGGGTGGCAGTAAGCTCCTTCTGTAAGAAAGTTACCTCGCCAAAGATGGCGAGGAAGATAGAGCGGGAGATATAGCTCAGAGTTTGGTCAGTAGCCAGAGGTCGTGGGTGGCAGTAAGCTCCTTCTGTAAAAAAGTTACCTCGCCAAAGAAGGCGAGGAAGATAGAGCGGGAGATATAGCTCAGAGTTTGGTCAGTAGCGAGAGGACGTGGGTGGCAGTAAGCTCCTTCTGTAAGAAAGTTACCTCGCCAAAGAACGCGACGAAGATAGAGCGGGAGATAGAGCTCAGAGTTTGGTCAGTAGCGAGAGGACGTGGGTAGCAGTAAGCTCCTTCTGTAAGAAAGTTACCTCGCCAAAGAAGGCGAGGAAGATAGAGCGGGAGATATAGCTCAGAGTTTGGTCAGTAGCGAGAGGACTTGGGTGGCAGTAAGCTCCTTCTGTAAGAAAGTTACCTCGCCAAAGATGGCGAGGAAGATAGAGCGGGAGATATAGCTCAGAGTTTGGTCAGTAGCGAGAGGACGTGGGTGGCAGTAAGCTCCTTCTGTAAGAAAGTTACCTCGCCAAAGATGGCGAGGAAGATAGAGCGGGAGATATAGCTCAGAGTTTGGTCAGTAGCGAGAGGACTTGGGTGGCAGTAAGCTCCTTCTGTAAGAAAGTTACCTCGCCAAAGATGGCGAGGAAGATAGAGCGGGAGATATAGCTCAGAGTTTGGTCAGTAGCCAGAGGTCGTGGGTGGCAGTAAGCTCCTTCTGTAAAAAAGTTACCTCGCCAAAGAAGGCGAGGAAGATAGAGCGGGAGATATAGCTCAGAGTTTGGTCAGTAGCCAGAGGACTTGGGTGGCAGTAAGCTCCTTCTGTAAGAAAGTTACCTCGCAGAAGTAGGCGGCGGCTTACCATCAGGTGAGCCGCAAGCTCGTTTGTCTCCTATGTTATAAATCTCTTAATTTTCAGATTGAATAAAGCACGAGAGGAATTAAAATTGGCTGGCAGCGTACGAGCGGCCGCCAAGCAGGAGTCGCAGAGAAGAGCGTCTGCTATATCCACTTATTGCAGTCAGGTATGAACTCTATGTAATGATATAAATAAGTATTAATTTAAATCAGCCATTTAAACGGATCGGTACAGTAATTGTAGTCAAATGTGTAACTATTTTTTAAATTTTTTTTTATTGAGTTTTTTGGACTATTGTCAGATGTAGCACCTGTAGCACTGCGACCTACATAGATCTATTGTGCTCGCCCTTTTCAAAGTTCGCTACCTAGACCCGTCAGTGACAAGAATTGAAGGAAGAAATGTGTAACTGTAACTCTATGTAGTAAGGAATAAGTTCCAAATTTATTCGGATATTTAATAGGATGGGTCGGTTAAAACACGTGTAGGTTATTGCAGTCAGGTATGAACTCTATGTTGTAACAAAATAAGCTTCAAATTAAATTGGCCATTTAATTTAATAGGATCGGTTGATTATTGCAAGCAAATATGACCTCTATGTAATAACGAATATGTTTCAAAATTAACCTTTAAGTTTCAAATCGGCCATTTAATCGGATCGGTCGGTTTATTGATTGTATGTTTTTTTTATGGATGATAATGGTGCACCTGCCTGCGCTAACGGTTTACGCTGGCGGGGCACCAGTGGAGGATGATAGGATGAACACGAGCTCATGTCAGTTAGCCCATCGGGACAAATTCATTAGGAATTTGTCCCGATGGTTTCCAGAGGAACCCCATGGAGGTCAATCTGACATGGTACATTGCTGCAATGAGGTTATTAGTCCACATTACGCAGAAACTCTTCCCCCCCCCCCCCCCCTACCACGTGGAATTAAAAATTAAAATTTCTATAAGAAAGAATAGAATAGAAAATCATTTATTCAAATAAACTTACATTGAAGCACTTTTGAATAGTCATAACATTTTTTTTTTAATCTACCGCTCATTCGGAATGCTGTCTCATCACAAGAAGAACAAGCAAGAAACTTGTGTGTTGCTCTTTTAAATAATTTATTCTTACTTAATACCCCAAGTTACATATGTACTAGCAACCCGCCTGGCTTCTCACTAGACCAACATTTGAGGTTGTTTTTTTTATTAAATTTGCACGCCTGTATGCTGAATACACTGACCATATATTTAATACTAGCTGTACCCGCGACTTCGTCCGCGTGGAATTTATCTTTATTTTCTAAAATAAAAGTAGCCTAAGTTACTCCTTATTACATCCGCTACCTGCCAAAAAAGGTCCCGTCAAAATCGGTCCAACCATTTCAGAGATTAGCCGGAACAGACAGACAAAAATTGTTAAAAATAATATTTTGGTGTATGTACCGTATTTATATTCATATGCATGTAGTAAACAACGGTTAATTCAATATTACAAACAGACACTCTGATTTCATTTATATGTATATATGTATACCCGTGCGAAGTCAGGGCGAGGAGTAGCTAGTAGTAAATAAAGCTATCTTAGTGATAACAAAAGAACATATCTTTTTGTTCTATTGTATGATTCAATATATGCAGTCACTATGTGTGCTCTCACACATGCTAATGGTGGCGGAATAAAAAAAATGAATCCATCAAATAATGAATGTACTTACAAAATAATACTTAATTCTATAAAATATAATCCAGTTTTATTTGTATGTATAAATGGTATACACCTATAAGCACTGCATTATTTAAATAAATGATTTGATTTGATTTAAAATTCATGTTACAGGTAGGCGATAGTCGCCCCATCAGCTTCTGTAGATTCAGCGGCGACAGCAAAATGCTCATCACATCCAGCTGGTAAGGGCATCTAACTTTATATCCTTATCTTTACTCATATTATAAATGTGTAAATATCTATGTTTATTCCGCTTTCACGCAAATTACTGAACGGATTTTGATGAAACTTTACGGTAATATAGCTTATACATCAGAATAACATATAGGCTATAAATTTCATACGGGAAACCACGGGTTAGCTAATACATACATATACATAGAAAACACCCAGACCGATACAAACAATAATACTCATGAATATGTTTTAAACGAAGCTTAATATGAACTAAACTATAGGACAATTCACACAGCGCCATCTAGACACAAGTTAAGCTAGCTAAAGCTTGTGTTATGGGTACTAGATAACTGATACAAATACATAGATATTTTTTTTGTAAATACATACATATTATACATAGAAAACACCCAGATCGATACAAACAATAATACTCATGAATATGTTTTAAACGAAGCTTAATATGAACTAAACTATAGGACAATTCACACAGCGCCATCTAGACACAAGTTAAGCTAGCTAAAGCTTGTGTTATGGGTACTAGATAACTGATACAAATACATAGATATTTTTTTGTAAATAAATACATATTATACATAGAAAACACCCAGACCGATACAAACAATCATACTCATGAATACAAATGTTTGTGCTGTGCGAGGAATCGAACCCGCGACCATTGAAAGAAAAGCAGCCTATACCGCTAGACCACCGAGGCCGTCAATACTGATAAATCTGTATCACACAGACGAAGTTGCGCGGGTCAACTAGTTTATAAGTTTACTAGTGTGTCATATCACCATTTAACACAAATGATTATTTAAATGATAATAATGGATTGTAATAATAATTGGAACACACTGAACCCACACATTGGAACCTAAGTGGTCTCGGACAGTGCGGTTTCAGAGGAGCTTCCTCCCGCGTACAATAGAATAGAATAGAAAATCATTTATTCAAATAAACTTAATTTAAGCACTTTTGAATAGTCATAACAATTTGTTTTTTATCTACCACTCGTTCGGAAAGCTGTCTCATCACAAGAAGAACGAGCAGGAAACTTGTGTGTTGCTCTTTTAAATAATCCTTGAAAGGAATGAACTACCTGCCAAGGTTTTCCCACGAGACTACAGCATGGGGTTTTTCAAGAAGGGTATATTAAGGTATTTAAGGGTCGGCAATGCGCACGTGATACCCCTGGTGTTTCAGGCGTTCATAGGCTACGGTACCATTTACCATCAGATGGGCCGTATGCTTGATTGCCACCATAGTAGTATAAAAAAAAATGTGATAATAAAGTAATATAAATATTATTGTAATATTTTACACGCAGGAAACGGCAGGGCATGTTTGGAACTATTATAATCTTAAGACCATTATGTACACATGTTCCAGTATATAAATTGAATTGAATTAATAATAATAATAATAATAATCAGACATAACCAAATAGCCAACGTTATTGACCTAAATTTAGCACATAAATACAAATTAATACAAGATACAAAAACCCCGTACTACAAATATACACCAGAAACCCTGTTAGAAAATACATCTCATAAACTATATTACGATCGTGCTATACTTACTGATAAGACTATTAATTACAACAGACCAGACATAATACTACAAGATAAAGTAAATAAGAAAACCTACCTCATAGATATTGCAGTTCCTAATACCCACAATCTCCAGAAGACAATTGCTGAAAAAATATACAAATATGCAGAGCTAAAGGAAGAAGTAACAAGAATTTGGAAACAGGAAAAAGTTTATATGATACCCATAGTCCTCTCGTCTACAGGTATCATATCTAATCACCTACATCATAGCCTGAAACAATTAAATACAAAAACACTTTACATCACCCTTCAAAAAGCTGCCATCTTAAATACTTGTCGTACAGTCCGAAAATTTCTCGAAATTGATGAAAATGATATAACACCAGTCACACCAGGCACACAATAAGTACACACACATACACACACTCTGCACTTACTTGGTTTCGGCCCGTAAGTGTGGAGAAAACCAGCAAAAGCTGAGAAAAAATAAATAAATAATAATAATAATAAGCCATCGACATCAGCTGGCTTGGTGCCGGCAGGACCGTCACAGGCCCAGCAATCGGCGCCCGCCACTAGTGGTACACGTCGCATGAGATGGTCGAGAGCCATGAACGAAGACCTCATGCGAGCGTTCTACAGGGCCACAGGGACAGAAACATACAGGGCAGTAATGCACCGCGAGTTCCTGCGTCTTCTGTTTTCTGCGTCTCGGAACAGAACCTAGCCGATAGAGTTCGGTACATACAGCGCTCTGGTATATCGGTGAACGGTCTTATCCCAACCAGTCTGGAGCAACATCTCAGACGGTTGGGATTCCGAGGCAGCTCACTCCCGGGAAAGATGCAGAAAGCTGTGCTGTTAGATTCTGCCCGCATTGTACGCCGGTTTCTGTCCCTGGGGCCCTGAACCCCGGCCGACTGTGCTTCTGCCGGGGGTAAGTTGTCATCTCCTCTCCTTAAGAGGGGAGATGAGAATTTTTTTGGAAGTTAGGAATAATAATAATAATACAATAATATGTATCAGTTATCTAGTACCCATAACACAAGCTTTAACAAACTTAACTTGGGTCTAGATGGCGCTGTGTGAATTGTCCTGAGATTATTATTATTGTACGGTAATTAATGTGACCTGAAGGAACATATCAACCGTCGCCTAATGCTCTTCAAACTTCATGTTCTCCTGGTACTTTCACTGTAATATTGTACCATAATTCATATATTTTTTTTATGTAATAGATAGAATAGAATAGCAAGCATGGCGATCTTGGTGGTCTAGCGGTTTAATTCTGATGGTCGCAGGTTCGATTCCTCGCACGGCGCAAACATTTGTATTCATGAGTATGATTGTTTGTATCGGTCTGGGTGTTTTCTATTTATAACATGTATGTATTTACAAAAAAAATATCTATGTATATGTATCAGTTATTTAGTACCCATAACACAAGCTTTAGCTAGCTTAACTTGGGTCTAGATGGCGCTGTGTGAATTGTCCTGAGATTGTTATTATAAGATTTTTTCTATTCTATTCGTGTATATAAACGGCTGTCACCACTTACCATCAGGTGTAGCATTTATTTCTATATAACCTAAATTTTATTTAAAAAGTAAGGAAACCTTATTTTTTTTTCGGACTACTCTAATGCTGTTGGCCGCAGCTGGCCTTTACAGCTTCACCGGATGTTAGGGGGCGAGTGCAGATGGCACTCCAAACCAAAAGAAGGACTTATGGAGCGGCTGAAGGCCAACTCCTGCCTGACGGATACGACTTTAGTCTGAGGGCACCACTAGGGGTTCGAACCTCGGCTCAGGCCGTCGTAATTTCGATCCCCGTTTGAATTGGACGGGGGATCGATCGGAGGGGTATAAGGAAATCTGCATGATGCAATTAGTATGTAATATCACTTGGCAGGTCTGGTCTGAGTAAGATATGGTCTGTGCCCGAGTGCACTCCGCTGCAGGTCCTGAAGGGCCACACGTGCAACGTGAGCGCGGCCACCTTCCACCCGGCAGCTACCATACCCGACCATTTCCTTGAGAAGGTATGCTCGTACACAGATATTGACTTGTGTTCTCAATATGGTTTATATATTTATTTATTCCTTTATTAATTTAGATGGTTAATCAATTTGTTGTTTAGTTGTATAATCGTTTATTGATTTATTCTTTTCATCATTTATTAATTTATTTTTTTCTTCATTTAGTAATTTATTTGTTTATCCCTTTCTTCAGTTTGTCATTTATTCATTTCTTCACTTAGTCACTTATTTAACCCGTCATTTATTTTTTATTTATGTATCATTCATTTTGTTTATTTATTTAATATCTCTAATAAATAAAATTTAAGTGTCAAAGTGTTTGTGTTCTTATAATTTTTTTGTGCATATTCAGTAGATCAGAGAATTGGAAGTAAATTGTTTTTCATGCCCTCTAAGTGGTAAGGATGGTCACCCCAAAAATATTAACTGTTCCATATCTATCATTCATTACAAAAAAATTGCCTGATTACTCCTAATGGAGATATTCAATGGATATTTAGACAGAAATAATGTCTAAAAATCCCCTCTGTAATATATATATATATATATATATTAATTATACACTAAACGATTACTTGAATGACAGACATGCATGGTATAGTTGGTAATAGTTGTTCATGCACGGGATTTTCATATAATGTTAGACATAGACACCTATATAAATATTTATAAATATAAATAAATATAAATATTTATATAGGTGTCTATGTCTAACATTATATGAAAATCCCGTGCATATACATTGTAAATAAACTGGCTTTAAAAAAATAAGAAATTCAGTCGAGTTTCTTGCCAGTTCTTCTCAATTGAATCTGTACACTGAACTGGACGGCAGGGAAAAATATTAATGCAAAAAACTTGACGTTCATAAGCGGATAAAATGTCCTACATGAATAAATTCAAAATGTGATTTGATTTATAAACTTCATCAAATTTAAATTCAAAATTCAAAATATCTTTATTCATGTAGGTCTATTACAGACTTATGATATGTCAAATCTACCGTCAGTTCGGAATGATTTCGAGATGAGAAGAACTGACAAGAAACTCAGCTCGTATTTTTTTCAAATAATAGTGGAACATGTTTATAATAATATACAGTCATTAAAATTCAAATTTGGGAGAATAGAGTGACCACCAGCATATGCTATTACAAAAAACAAAAAATCTAATCAGTGAAAATATTGTTTTTGACATTTTTTTATGATAAAACAGTATGTGTATTGCGAGACAAATTTGGCAATTTTTTTTTATTAATTCGTTTTACGGCTCTGGATACAATTTCTTTTTAGCCCAACAAAAAGTTTTACAAAAAAAATATTTGTATAAAAACTTTTGCACTTTTTATTTACTATATTTATTAAACACAATGAACGAAGCTTTACAAATCTACGCCTTGCTTACTTTTAATATTCCATGAGGACCGATGTCTACAGAAATATCTACCCACATTTCATTTTCATCTAGTTAATTTAATATTTTCTATTATTTCTTCAAGATTAATGCTGTGAAGGATAGTGAAGAGGGGCAGCTGGCTATGGACACGAGTGGTGACTCCACCAGCGTCTGCAGCATGGCGTCCTGCGCTTACGACGGTACCGTTCATCTGTGGAATTTCGTCAGGTCAGTATCCCAATTTTTTTAGGGTTTTGGGCTATTGTCAGGTGCTGGCCTGGAACACTGCGACCAGATCTATTGCGTTCGTTACTACGGTTTTGGGCTATTGTCAGGTGCTGGCCTGGAACACTGCGACCTGTATAGATCTATTATGTTTGTGACCTGTACGTTCGCGAAAATGTGTTAATAATATGTAAATAATTAAACAAAATCTATGTACATTTATTATTTAAGTTATATAAATATAATATATATTTAAAACTTTAAACTTTATTTTTCCAAAATAAAAGTAGCCTAAGTTACTCCTTATCAAATCGGCTACCTGCCAAAAAAAAGTCCCGTCAAAATCGGACCAGCCATTTCAGAAATTTGCCGGAACCAACACACAGACAAAAATTGTAAAAATTTTATTTATAATCGTATGCATGTAGTAAAAAACAGTTATTTCAATATTACAAACAAACACTTCAATTTTATTTATATGTATAGGTATACACATAAAAAAATATTAATATAAATAAATTGCACAGAATAAATAAATAATATGCTAAATATAAATTCTATGTTGTTTTGTGTCCACCAGCGAAGCCCCGATCGCGTCTCTGCCGGGCCACAGTCCGTCGCGGGTGGCGCGCGCAGAGTTCCATCCGTCGGGCCGGTTCCTCGCCACCACCGTCTTCGACCACTCCTGGAGACTGTGGGACCTAGAAACTGGTAATTCTGCTGATTCTTTTTTTTCGACTGTTCTGTGTGATCGTATCAGAAATGAGGAGATCCGCAGAAGAGCCGACATACATTCAAATTCACAATATCTTTATTCATGTAGGTCTATTACAGACTCTTATGATATGTCAAATCTACCGTCAGTTCGGAGTGATTTCGAGATGAGAAGAACTGACAAGAAACTCAGCTCGTATTCTTTTCAAATAAATGTTGTACATGTTTACAATAATACAGATTCATTTTTAAATTCAAATTTGGAAGAATAGATTACCTCCAGCATATGCTATTGCAAAAGCAAATAGTCTAATCTGTGTTCGTAACGCGAACGGACCAGTCCCCACAAGCAGCACCCGGTCACGAGTATGACGGATGAGCTAGCCATTATAGCCCGAAAAATTGCGAGACTGAAGTGGCAATGGGCGGGGCACGTAGCTCGTAAGACAGACGGCCATTGGGGCAAAGTCCTCAGTGGCGACCACGGACCGGAAGACGCAGCGTGGGAAGGCCTCCAGCAAGGTGGACCGACGATCCGGTCAAGATCGCTGGAAGGCATTGGATGCGAGCAGCGCAGGACCGATCGTCGTGGAGATCTTTGGGGGAGGCCTATGTCCAGCAGTGGACGTCTTCCGGGCTGAGATTATGATGATGATGATTCTAATCCGGTTGGTGATGAGACAGCTTTCCGAATGAACGGTAGATTAAAAACAAATATGTTTAAATTACAATTTATTTCAATGAAGAATTATCTCTGACTCTGGTTTGATGGTTGTTAAAACTTTTTGCGTTTCATCAAATGCGTAACAGCTTCTATGTTGATTGTCGCATGCCTAATCCTTGTTAATGTAAATCTACTCAAAACAACATTTGTTTAAAAGAGCAGCACACAAGTCTCTCGCTCATTCTTCTTGTGATGTCTGTGAGTCTGCGTTCCGAATGGGTGATAGTATAAAAAAGTGTGACTATTCAAAAGTGCTTATATTTAGTTTATTAATACGGCTGGCGTCAGTGAATGTATGGTAAAATAAATAAATAACTTACGAATCTTGTAGTAAGGTATCGAAATCATATATTAACTATAGAAAAACAATATATGAAACAATATATCTCAAAAATTGTAAATAAAAATTATATGTTTAAAAAAAGAAACAGCTATAAAAAGATTTCTTATATATAATATAAGAAATAGAAATAGAAATAATCTTTATTCAAATAAACTTAATATAAGCACTTTTGAATAGTCATATTTTGATTCTACCACTCATTCGGAATGCAGATTCATCACAAGAAGAATGAGCAAGAAACTTGTGTGTTTTAATAGATGTTTTTTTATACAAATAATTACAGTATAACAAGTAAGAGGCATGCGATAATCAACAGAAGTCGCTACGCACTCATTATTAGTGTAATCAGATAATATTGTCAGTGCTAGTAAGTTTTTTTATACTACCGCTCTTTCGGAATGCAGACTCATCACAAGAAGAATGAGCAATAAACTTGTGTGTTGCTCTTTTAAATAAATATTGATTTACTTATATTTAATTAACAACAAGGATTAGGCATGCGACAATCAACATAGAAACCGCTACGCACTTAATCTCTGTTCAATCAGATAACATTGTCAGCGCTATGAATTTTAAATTAGATATTTTCTACAAAAACATTATTATCATTTATAAATTCTTCAATTTTATAATAAGATTTTTTACAAAGAAAATATTTTATAAGACATTTGAATCTTTTTTCTGGCAAATTGAGTACACTCTGGGAGTTTGTTGTAAAACCTTGTGCAATTTCCATAAAACGAGTTACTGACTTTCGTCAAACGGCACTTAGGTAAAACTAGTTTGTTGACATTACGTAAGCTTTTATTAGTGTAATCACCTACTTTTTTAAATATATAAAAAGAGCTTATATATATAAAAAGAGGTTGCCAATGTTTATTTAAATAATTATTATTTCTATTTCTAATTACTTGTGTGTGTTCTTAATAATAAAAGTTTTATCTATATATCTATCAGCAAAAGAAGTGCTGCATCAGGAAGGGCATGCGAAGCCAGTTTACAGCGTCGCATTTCAAGGAGACGGCTCCCTCGCCGCTACGGGGTAAGTTGTAATAATAATAATCTCAGGAGCTAGCTAGGATAGCTTAACTTGTGACTAGATGGCGCTGTGTGAATTGTCACAGCGCCATCTAGTCACAAGTCCGCTAGCTTAACTATATATGTGAGTTAATATGACCAGGGTCATTGGGTTCCCTAAAATATGGTAGAGCGCAGTGACTGGCTTATCACGTCATACTCGTGAACAAGTACTGCTTGTAGGGACAGGTCTGCTGTAATCACTACGACTGATTCACTCAACCAGTTGGTTGTATATTTAATATTTTCTCTATTTGAGTATTTAATTGAATTAGTGCTAATTGGTAGTCTCTATTCACACATTTTAATTTAAAAATGTAATATATTTGAAAGGGTAAAAATGCTGACGGCCTACCAGATAAAAAGGACTAACATCGCTTATATACATGTACCCCTCGATACCAGTCTTGAGTTGCCATTCCAGAAGACTAAGATGTCACGTATCCTATAACTTCACGGCCTGATCTCACCCTACAACCGAAACACAGCGTATAAAGCAAGCTTTATGTGTAAAGTACGTAAAGTTACAAGGATTATTTAAAAGAGCAACACACAAGTTTCTTGCTCGTTCTTCTTGTGATGAGACAGCTTTCCGAATGAGCGGTAGATTAAAAAAATGTGACTATTCAAAAGTGCTTATATTAAGTTTATTTGAATAAAGATTATTTATATTTCTAATAACTAAAAATTAAATTTATTAACTACTAACTACTCGCCCCGGCTTCGCCCGGGTGTACATGTATTACATGTAAAAGGAACTGCTACAAAATCCGTTGCGTAGTTTTAAGAATTGAAGCATATATAGGGACAGACAGCGACAGCGACTTTGTTTTATACTATGTAATGATAATTTCTAATAACATCTATCAGCAAGCCCGTCTTCCCCACAGGGCACACTGGGCCCGTGCCCAGGGCCCCGGGATGGATTGGGGCCCCCTAGTCTAGTCTAGTCCCAACTCCATTAAAAGTCGATAACCCATAGCTACTCCACTCTCGCATTAAAATAGTCTTAACAAATACTTACAGACTATGGTCAATTTGTTCGTTTTTGTTAATTTTTTTTATGTCTACCAAGAACTTGTACCCCTCATCAAATAACGAATTTTTAAAATTATTTTTGACCGGTTTGTTTTGAAATAGAAATAATAGAAATAGAAATAATCTTTATTCAAATAAACTCATTACAAGCACTATTGAATAGTCATATTTTGATTCTACCACTCATTCGGAATGCAGATTCATCACAAGAAGAATGAGCAAGAAACTTGTGTGTTGCTCTTTTTAATAGATGTTTTTTTATATAAATAATTACAGTATAACAAGTAAGAGGCATGCGATAATCAACATAGAAGTCGCTATGCACTCATTATTAATGTAATCAGATAATATTGTCAGTGCTATGGATTTAAAGTTTTTCTATAAAAATATTATTATCGTTAACGAATTCTTCAATTTATAGTAAGCTTTTTTGCAAAGGAAGTGTTTTATTTGACATTTAAATCTTTTTTCTGGCAGATTTATAACATATTCTGGTATTTTATTGTAAAACCTTACGCAATTGCCATAAAACGAATTACTAACTTTAGCCAAACGACGTTTAGGTAAAATCAGTTTGTTATTGTTACGTAAGCTTTTATTAGTGCAATCACTAACTCTTTTGAAACTGTCTATATTCCTTCTGGCATAGATGATATTTTCATAAATGTATTGAGAAGCAACGGTGAGGATATTTGATTCCTTAAAACACTCTCGTAATGACTCCCTGGAACCCATACCATAAATGGAGCGAATGGCCCTCTTTGAAGGTAGGGCATCACCATATATGTACATCTTTAAAGAGTCATGTTCAAAAATTACTTTGTCTTTTCTAACAAAATAGTGCTTTATTACTATGGTCATTGGGGCCCCATTGTCCTAATGTGTCCAGGGCCTCTAGTAGGTGAAATCAAAGTAATTTTTGAACATGACGTTCAAAAATTACTTTGTCTTTTCTAACAAAATAGTGCTTTATTACTATGGTCATTGGGGCCCCATTGTCCTAATGTGTCCAGGGCCTCTAGTAGGTGAAATCAAAGTAATTTTTGAACATGACGTTCAAAAATTACTTTGTCTTTTCTAACAAAATAGTGCTTTATTACTATGGTCATTGGGGCCCCATTGTCCTAATGTGTCCAGGGCCACTAGTAGGTGAAATCAAAGTAATTTTTGAACATGACGTTCAAAAATTACTTTGTCTTTTCTAACAAAATAGTGCTTTATTACTATGGTCATTGGGGCCCCATTGTCCTAATGTGTCCAGGGCCTCTAGTAGGTGAAATCAAAGTAATTTTTGAACATGACGTTCAAAAATTACTTTGTCTTTTCTAACAAAATAGTGCTTTATTACTATGGTCATTGGGGCCCCATTGTCCTAATGTGTCCAGGGCCTCTAGTAGGTGAAATCAAAGTAATTTTTGAACATGACGTTCAAAAATTACTTTGTCTTTTCTAACAAAATAGTACTTTATTACTATGGTCATAGGGGCCCCATTGTCCTAATGTGTCCAGGGCCTCTAGTAGGTGAAATCAAAGTAATTTTTGAACATGACGTTCAAAAATTACTTTGTCTTTTCTAACAAAATAGTGCTTTATTACAATGGTCATAGGGGCCCCATCATCCTAATGTGTCCAGGGCCTCTAACAGGTGAAAACGGCCCTGTCTATTAGGGTTCCTAGCTCAGATAAAAAAGCAACACCCAAATATCTCGCTCATTCTTCTTGTGATGAATATGCGTTTCGAAGGAGTAGTAGATTAAAAAATATGACTATTCAAAAGTGCTTATATTATTAAGTAAAGATTTATTTATTTCTATTAATTAATTCCAGAGGTATGGACGCGTTTGGCCGCGTGTGGGACATACGGACCGGTAGATGCGTGATGTTTCTAGAAGGTCACCTGGGACCGGTGCAGGGTATAGACTGGGCACCAGCCGGACACCAGCTCGCTACTGCCGCCGCTGACAACCAGGTTTTTTTATTTTATTTTTACACTTTTTTGCACCAGTTACAGAAAATATTAATTACTATACAAATATGTATAACAATGACGAGTACAAGAGGCGGCCTTATCGCTATGCAATCTCTTACAGGCAACCTTTAGGTAGACAGTGAAAATATAAGAAAAAGAGCAGGTGGTACAAATGACAACACAACTAAGATGGGTATAAATAATACATGCAAATATACATAAATATATATAGACATACAATACATACATAATAATAATACACATATCCATGAAAAGTTTGAAGGAAAGAAAGGGACTATAAGAAAAAGGAAAAGTAGAACTAAAGGGAAAGAAAATGAGTTTTTACTTTTACGAATAGGAGCGGGAAGCGAGTTCCACAACCTAACAGCCTGGACAGAAAATGATTTTGGTATGTGATGAGGGAATGGTACATCATGGAGCGAAAGGGTTCTTAGCAATATAGACTACGTTGTTTGAAAGAAAAAAAATGTTGGATGTTTTTCTTTCAAACATACAGTTGTTTGAAAGAAAAAAATCCAACATTTTTTTTCTGTCTGTTTTTTAATCCCGGAGACTAAATTGACATTACCGATGTTGCCATGTTATTGTATTTTTTAAATAGTGTTGTGGCACTATCGGAAATTAATATTAATTACCCAATTTTATTGGTTATTCAGAAATAATATGTAAATGTTTATATAGAACGCAGATTCTTTTTTTCGACTGTTCTGTGTGATATCAGAAATGAGAAGATCCGCAGAAGAGCCAGAGAGATCGACATCAATTCAAATTCAAAATATCTTTATTCATGTAGGTCTATTACAGACTCTTATGATATGTCAAATCTACCGTCAGTGCGGAGTGATTTCGAGATGAGAAGAACTGACAAGAAACTCAGCTCGTATTCTTTTCAAATAAATGTTGTACATGTTTATTTTCGTGAAATCTTACAGGGATATAGCTTATACATCAGAAGAACACATAGGCTCGTTTCGTGCAGGCGGGCACAGCTAGTAATTTTTTTTTTATTTCATTTACAGGCAAAAATCTGGGATCTACGCAGACGAGCGCCGTTGTACAGTATACCTTCACACACGCACCTCCTCAGTGGTGAGACAACAAACATACTTATATACAATATCATTGCATAGTATAAAACAAAGTCGCTGTCGCTGTCTGTCCGTCCCTATGTATGCTTAAATCTTTCAAACTACGCAACGGATTTTAGGCAGGTTTATATGTATAATACATGTACACCCGCGCGAAGCCGGGGCGAGTAGCTGGTATGATATAATCCTAATTAATATTATAAAAGCAAAAGTAACTCTGTCTGACTGTCTGTCTGTCTTGCTTTCACGTTATAACTATTGAACCGATTTTAATGCAATTTGGTACACATAATCTGTTTGGGGTGATCCACCCTTAACGCTTAGGGGTATAAAAATTAGTTATAAACCAATCTTACTGAATATGCATATAAAATTTCATCAAAATCGGTCAAGCCGTTTCGCTGGAGTATAAACACGAAACCTGTGACACGAGAAGTTTATATATTAGACAGAAGTTTATATATACAGCGCAGCCTACTACTGTCACTGGAGCTTTATTGTTATGTGCATATCTGTCTGTAATGCGAATAAATGACTTACTTACTTAAGTAAGTAAGTAAGTCATTTATTTACTTTTATTTATTTATTTAGTAACGAGTTCTTCTAGTAAGAGTAAGTACTCTTACTAGAAGAACTCGTTAAATGTGAAATGAACTGGCATTTTCACAAAAAATCACTGTGTTTCAGATATCCGATACCAGCGCAGTCACGGCCATTTCCTGTTAACGGCCTCTTATGACAAGTCGGCTAAGTTGTGGTCCAACCCAGCATGGCACCCGCTACGGACCCTCTCTGGACATGATAATAAGGTAAGGTAATATATAATAATTGATTTGAGTCTGCATCAATCAGACTTTGAATAGATTTGAAAGATATTTTGATTCTAGTCTGCATAGATCAGACTTTGAATAGATTTGAAAGATATTTTGATTCGAGTCTGCATAGATCAGACTTTGAATAGATTTGAAAGATATTTTGATTCGAGTCTGCATCAATCAGACTTTGAATAGATTTGAAAGATATTTTGATTCTAGTCTGCATAGATCAGACTTTGAATAGATTTGAAAGATATTTTGATTCGAGTCTGCATAGATCAGACTTTGAATAGATTTGAAAGATATTTTGATTCTAGTCTGCATAGATCAGACTTTGAATAGATTTGAAAGATATTTTGATTCTAGTCTGCATAGATCAGACTTTGAATAGATTTGAAAGATATTTTGATTCGAGTCTGCATAGATCAGACTTTAAATAGATTTGAAAGATATTTTGATTCGAGTCTGCATAGATCAGACTTAATAGATTTGAAAGATATTTTGATTCGACTCTGCATAGATCAGACTTAATAGATTTGAAAGATATTTTAATTCGACTCTGCATAGATCAGACTGAATAGATTTGAAAGATATTTTGATTCGAGTCTGCATAGATCAGACTTTAAATAGATTTGAAAGATATTTTGATTCGAGTCTGCATCAATCAGACTTTGAATAGATTTGAAAGATATTTTGAATTGATATCTTTCAAATCAAAATATCTTTAATTATTTGACGGCCTCGGTGGTCTAGCGATTTAACACACCGCTCTACTTCCGATGGTCGCGGGTTCGATTCCTTGCACGATGCAAACATTTGTTTTCATGAGTATGGTTGTTTGTATCGGTCTGGGTGTTTTTATTGTATTTACCCATAACACAAGCTCAAGCAGAGCTTGTGTTATGGGTAAACCGTGGGACTAGATGGCGCTGTGTTAATTGTCCAAGGTTAATTATTATTTATCATCTCGAAATCATTCCGAACTGTCGGTAGATTTGACATATCATAAGAGTCTGTAATAAACCTACATGAATAAAGATATTTTGAATTGATTTGAAGAAAGATTCTATTCTATTTTGTATATATATAGCCTGGAATATACTAAAAAATATTTCTTTTCTATTTTATATCGATATAGTTTGGGACATATAGCATTAAATATATTATTTTTATTTTATTATTTACAGGTCATGAGTGCTGATATATCTGCAGATAATAAATATATAGTGACGTGCTCATATGACAGGACCTTCAAACTGTGGGCGCCGGAGTTATCATAATTACAGAACTTAGCATTCCAAGAAGTCACCGTGCAGGAGCCCGGACCATCGTGCGACAGAGAGGGAGGCTCCGAGCAGTTCCCCAGGACTTGTGATCCGGGTGTAGGTTTCAGAGGCCCCTCGCCAACGTCAACAGTCACTTTCACCGTTCGTGTATTTTTTTATGTAATTCGAATGGTGAACAAGCTGACGGTACTGATGGTAAGTGGTAACTGTCGCCATGTGCATGGATATGCCGACAGTATATCCTCCAGTGTTGAGGAGCCCCTAAAGTGTTGAATAGACTTTTCATAAAATTGTTTCTATGAAATATTCATATTATTTTATTAATAAAGTTAATTGACAAATTATTTGTATTTTGTTTTATTTATTAATCTATTACAAAAAAGGGGGAGATACTCAACGTTGCTTTATTTTTTTTATTATTTGTTACTTCATAGCTCTGTCATTTTTTATTTAAAAGAGGATACTTTCAATTTGAGCCCATTTTTCTTTAAGAATTGGAATTGTTTTTTTTTTAAATTATGTTACTTCACACAAAGTTCAGATATACGATATTATACGGTCGACTTTGGGTAAAGTGGTCGAAAGAAATACGACGCTTTCTCATACCTAATGTTTCTTTTATACATAATTTAACAGCTACGCTCTTGTCGATAGACCAGTTTCCGCGATCTAATGTTTAAGTAGTAGATAATGCCATATGCTATAAAGCTCGCCTTGTGTATAAAGTTTCATTGTACAAATAAATTATATAGAAGTGTCTGTTTGTATTTTTAAATTAATAGCTTTTCATTAAACGCGAATGAAAGTATATATGGTACTTACATAAAGAAAGAAGAACCACTTCTTGGTAAACGACTGGACCTATTCTGACAGGTCTTTTATTCATAGATAATGTTATAAGTAGTATCTTAGTACTATTTTAGTTTTTCGAGTGGTGAAACTAAATTTTTAACCATCCCATTGCTAGCAATGTACCATGTCAGACCTCCACGCGGTTCCCCCTGGAAACCATCGTAATAAATTCCCGGTGAATTTGTCACTTTGGGCTAATTGACCTGACTTCATGTTCATCTTATCATCCTCCACTGGTGCCACGCCAGCGTAAACCGTTAGCGCAGGCGGGTGCACCATTCCGTTATCATACACTAAAATACATACCCTGGATCCTGGTACGTCCTGGAGAACATTGAAGCCCTCAGAGTATTCGAAAGGACACAAATATAAAAACATATCGACTCCATAATGAAATAACAGCTATATCACATTAACTTAACTATGTCTCCAACACAATTCACTTTAGCATTTTAAATACAACCAGCACATTCTGTGCTCAAACACCGAATGTCGTGGCTTACAAAAACCCTCCCTTTTATACAAAGATATGAGTGGGTGTTATAATGAAAAGTAATAATGAAACTACCTTCTTTTGTTTTGTCCTTCGTTTGATATGTTTAAAATATCGAATTTTCCTCCAATATCTATGTGAACCCAACACAAATATAACCTCACATGCTTCAACTCAGTAATTCCCAAATTGGTCTATATCGACCCCCAGGAGTCTATGATAAACTGCAAGGGGTCTATGACACAAAAGTGGTCTATATCGACCCCTAGGGATCTATGACAAACTGCAAGGGGTCTATGACAAACTGCAAGGGCTCTATGACAAACTGCACGGGGTCTATAACAGCGGTCATCTTATTGTTTTTACTTTATGTTTTTAACACTAAACTTTACTACAGTTAGAAAATTACAAAAAAACAATACTAGGTAAGAATGGGGGGTCTACCCAAAATCAAAAAAATGGCAAAGCGTCTACGATACAAAAAAGTTTTGCTGCTTATAAGACTTATAACAGTCTTATACAGGAATGAAATAAATTGTTTATAAATATATTAATTTTAGTGAATTATTACGTTTTGACTACTATACTTACACTTCATCAGTAACTATAGCTACGAATACTTGTTAAAACAATCGTAAACCACTATTAACAAGAAATCTAAACGCACTATAACAAGGCAATAAAGGCAAACAATGTCACGTCACACAATGCTGCAAAGTTGTAAGGTTGGCGTAGAATTTGACATCAATTATTTTATGCAGCATATCCATCATTTGCTAACCCAAAAATATTTAAAATATCCTAAACAGAAAAGTGTAAAGATATATTGGCAAATATAATAAAATATTAAATCTTAAAGTTAATTCTATGCCTGACCTTATTGATAAATTAATTATTGGCAAATAAATTGATATTATCATTAATATCACATTACTAAATTATCCAATTCTAATATTAGATTGTCTAGTGTTATTCGATTCATTATATTTACAACGTGGTTAAGCACGAACCACAATGTTATAGTATAATAACAATTCAACCACTCGTATGCATTTAACCAAATTTGATGAACTTCGTTCACAGTAAGTAGATTAAACATTGACTGGAGTCCAATAACAAATATATCGACACCAATCGACGTTCATAGAAAGTTAAATTCAACGTTCAGTATAAAATAGACTTTATTGCAATACGCATACGGACATTGGGAGGTGATACATTGCTTATCAAAACGTTTTTCGTCATTCATCCGTCATACTCGTGAACGGGTGCTGCTTGTAGGGACTGGTCTGCTCTTATCACTACTGATTTCCTCTTATTAATTGTTTAACCAGTTGGTTATATATTCAATATTTTTTCTATTTGAGTATTGAATTGAATTAGTGCTAATTGGTGGTTTGTATTCACACACTTAAACTTAAAAATGTAAAGTAATAATAAAATTATTTAAAAGAGCAACACGCAAGTTTCTTGCTCGTTCTTCTTGTGATGAGACAGCTTTCCGAATGAGCGGTAGATTAAAAAAAATGTAATGACAATTCAAAAGTGCTTCAATGTAAGTTTATTTGAATAAATGATTTTCTATTCTATTCTTTTTATCATGAAATATTCCCGCACACGAAAGTTGCTTTAACTTCATCCCTAACAAAATAAAACAAGGTATATATTTTCATAGTTTTATTTGTACGTCAACCTTATACATACTGTACAGAAATGCGTATTTAAAAAATTCTTAACTAACAATCAACATTTAGGAAAACTTTCAATCTATAATTCAGCTAGGACAATAACCTACGCCTTACGTACTCTATTTATTTACAATATGGAGAAAAGAAACGTTTGTTCCCAATTTATATATTTTTTTGTAACTGAGAGATCATGTATACAGTTCACATTGGTTGCACGTTACGGTGGGAGTTTTTTAATGTTTGGTGCACCCGCCTGCACTAGTGGTATACGCTGGTGGGGCACCAGTGGAGGATGATAAGATAGTGTCAGGACAGCTGCAAGCTCTTTTAAAATAAGAGGTGTGATACAGTGAAAGTACCAGGATGACATGAAGGTACAGGCAGTTGGGTGATGTCTTTGGTACTGTTTATGTATATAGGCGACGGTTGACACTCTATACATTGTAGAACTGAAGGTGTCTGGTACAGTGATGACGTTATCAGTCGTGTTTATTTTATGTATGGTAGTTGTATGGTGTACTCATGGTGCTGACGGTATACGCTGGAGGGGCACCAGTGGAGGATGATAGGATGAACACGAGGTCACGTCAGTTCCATGCTCTTATAAAATAATAGGTGTGATACAGTGAAAGTACCAGGACAACATGAAGTTACAGGCAGTACTGTTCATGTATATAGGCGATAGTTGCTACTCTCTATATATTATAAAACCGAAGGTCATATATAATGTAATGGTGCACCCGCCTGTGATAACGGTATACCCTGGCGGAGCACCAGTGGAGGATGATAAGATGAATAAGAGGTCCGGTGAGTTCCATGCTCTTATAAAATAATAGGTGTGATACAGTGAAAGTACCAGGACAACATGAAGTTACAGGCAGTACTGTTCATGTATATAGGCGATAGTTGCTACTCTCTATATATTATAAAACCGAAGGTCATATATAATGTAATGGTGCACCCGCCTGTGATAACGGTATACCCTGGCGGAGCACCAGTGGAGGATGATAAGATGAATAAGAGGTCCGGTGAGTTCCATGCTCTTATAAAATAATAGGTGTGATACAGTGAAAGTACCAGGACAACATGAAGTTACAGGCAGTACTGTTCATGTATATAGGCGATAGTTGCTACTCTCTATATATTATAGAACAGCAGGTCTTGCATAATGTAATGGTGCACCCGCCTGTGATAACGGTATACCCTGGCGGAGCACCAGTGGAGGATGATAAGATGAATATGAGGTCAGGTCAGTTCCATGCTGTTATAAAATAATAGGTGTGATACAGTGAAAGTACCAGGACAACATGAAGTTACAGGCAGTGGGTGATGTGTTTGGTACTGTTCATGTATATAGGCGACGGTTGACACTGTATATATTATAGAACCGAAGGTCATAACGGGCACCATTGGTGGATGATAGGATGAGCATGAAGTCACGTCAGTTCCATGCAAACTTATAAAATAATAGGTGTGATACAGTGAAAGTACCAGGATAACATGAAGGTACAAAGGTGCTTGGCAATAATTGTTCATTCACGGGATGTAAATAAACTGTCTTTGGAAAAAAAAAGAATTTTAGGAGTCTTGCTAGTTCTCAGTTGAATTTGTATACTGAACATTAGTTATACATTTTCGATTCAATTTTAATATAGGTTGTACCAGGATAACATGAAGTTATAGGAAGTTGGGTACTCTTTGGTACTGTTCATGTAAATAGGCGACGGTTGACACGCTCTATATATTATAGAACAGAAGGTCTTGCATAATGTAATGGTGCACCCGCCTGCGATAACGGTATACGCTGGCGGGGCACCAGTGGAGGATGATAAGATGAACATGAACTCAGGCCCACTTCACCATGAATTTAATATAAAGATTTCAAGAGGATATTGTGATCTATTATAATAATATAACTGACTAAAAAAATCAAACAAAAATATACCAGTTGTGTCTTGCCAGTTCTTAACTGAAGTTGCTATCGGAACTGGACGGTAGGGATAGCGATTTAAAAAGTAGGGTCTAGACTAGGGTGCCCTAATCAATTGCAGGGCCCTGGGCACGTGCCCAATGTGCTCAGTGGGTAATAGGGTACGGACTAGACTAGACTAGGGTGCCCTAATCCGTCGCGGGGCCCTGGCTACGTGCCCAATGTGCTCAGTGGGTAATAGGGTACGAACTAGACTAGACTAGGGTGACCTAATCCATCGCGGGGCCCTGGGCACGTGCCCAATGTGCTCAGTGGGTAATAGGGTACGGACTAGACTAGACTAGGGTGCCCTAATCCATTGCGGGGCCCTGGCCACGTGACCAATGTGCTCAGTGGGTAATAGGGTACGGACTAGACTAGACTAGGGTGCCCTAATCCATCGCGGGGCCCTGGCCACGTGACCAATGTGCCCAGTGGGGAAAAGGGGATTGAATGTTTTAATAGTAATACAGTGAGGTATGTCAAGTCAACATCGGTACCATTTGGTGTAGTGGAACTAGAGGTGAGTGATATAATCTCATCTGCATCTTTTCAACATTATACCGTGGATAAGAGGCCTTAAGGTCTTTTTTGATTTACACAAATTCAACAGTCAAACACGACCCGACCGTAACGTACAATACTAATATTATCACAAAAATTAAGACTAGATATTAATTTTTCGTTGTAGGTGTGTTTGTTACCGCACCCATATTCAGTAGACCACTGTATCCCCTAAACTGGCTGGCCATCATGTCTCTATACGCCGCCAATTGTCTCTGGTCCATCTGGCCCAGACTGTTGTAAAACGCGTTCATGTACATTGGGTCCATAAAACTTGGTACACTCTTCTGCATTTCCATAAACTGCGCTAGATTCTGATTTTTAACCACATTTTGGTAATTCTGCGGGGTCTGACTGTCCCTGGACCCTGTGGAACTTGTCGGGGAAGGGTCGTCTCGGGGATTAACTTGGTAGTTGGGGACAACTATTGGGGACTTCTTCTGGACCCCGGACGGGGACGGACAAGTGTACTGTTTGGGGAAATCTTTAGGGGGCGTAACTGTTTTCGTGGACATGAATTTACCGTTGGACGACCGTTTTTGTGGCGTCCTGTTTTTCATTGTATTATGTTGGGCTTTCGGATTGACTAATGTAATTTCTAAATTCGAACCTACTACTGCTTTCCCGTCGATTAGGGTGTAGTTCTTTGCCAAGTTTTGGGGGGCACTAGAGGCTTTCGACGGGGACGGGGTCGGTGGTACCCTGACGATTTCGACCGCCGGCTTTTGTGGGGTCAACGAGGGGTTCTTACATGTTAAGTCTAGGATATCTTGCGGCGGAGTTTGGGAGGTCGAAGACGCTATATTCTTCTGTGGCTTGACTGGGGTCCCGTGTAGAATGTGGGGTGGGGGCATGAAGGGGTCTTTGGGGTTCCCGTAAACCGTCTTCTCGGGGCCAGATGACCCGAAAATTGAGGTGCCCTGCGTTATTTTCGGTGGTCGTATACCGTTGGCGTAATTCGGTGGTACTATATTGTACATTTGAAACAGTTGTACTTGGGTCATTATTTGATGTTGGACCGCGGGGTTGAGGGTCATGGGGGCGGTGTTTAGCAGGGGGTTGATGGTCGTGAGGGGGACGGGGCCGGGCCACGCGGGGGTGGGTATTGCGGTAACTTCCAGCCCTCTCTCCTTTAGTATATCTAGTTTCTTCTTCTTAATAGCTTGAGGACTCTCCGGATATTCGTCGAGATCAATTATTTCCGGCGTCTTCGGTTTGTACGGAACCTGTATGAATAATTATCAAATTAACATTTATTTTCATACCTTGTGCATGCATTTGACGAGTATGTAAATGAGGGAAGAATTGTGTAAGGACAGAAACCAAAGTAAAGAGAGAAGAAATACTTTTGTTATTATTGTTGTACTGTATTTAATTATTACATTTAAACCATTTTACAATACAGACTCCGCTTCTATAAAATGCACAGAGTAATAAACATCAATTACAAATATCATTATCAGTACATAGTATAAAACAAAGTCGCTGTCGCTATCAGTCCCTATGTATATGCTTAAATCATTAAAACTGCGCAACGGATTTTGAAGCGGTTTTTTTAATAGATAGAGTGATTTAAGAGGAAGGTTTATATATATAACACATGTACATCCGTGCGAAGCCGGGACGAGTAGAGTAGTTATAGATAAATTGGACCAAGGATATATACTGTTGCGAGTGAATGATACATGATGTTGTTGGTAGAGACGATGTATATTACAGATGATAGTAGACTGACAATATGTACATAGAACTAATGATCTTATATACTAAATAACAATAGGAAAATGTAAGGTGGGGTGACACAGTTTAGACACAGCAGTGCTTAGTACACAATATCGGATTTGTCTCACTAGAGATTATTAAATGCAATTATTTTGATGTATCTAGATAACTGTGTCCCATATATACCACCTCAGATGGGCCGTATGCTTGATTGCCACCATCGTAGTATAAAAAAAAATCACCGTTACCGCTAGACCACGGCCGTCAACAAACAATAGAAAAACATAAATAAACTGACCTCAACGATTTCATCATCACTAATCTGCGCGGGCGGGTGATGAATGCCGAAGTTGGTGACGGGCGGCGGCGCCGCGTTCACCGCCGGCTGCGGTGATGATGATGCAGAGTCCGCCCGCAGCGATGCCGTTGGTGCTGTTCACAACAATCATCATTACATCAATCATATGTATACTATACTACATATATATACAATAAATTCTACAAGTATATACATGATATACCCCGATCAAATACATGTGGTAGAAATAATCTTTATTCAAATAAACTTAATTATATAAACACTTTTGAATAGTCAAATTTCTTTATTCTATCACTCATTAGGAACGCAGACTCATCACAAGAAGAACGAGCGAGAAACTGGCGCGTAGCTCTTCTAAAGAAATATTGCAAACAATCTGACCACCTAATGGTAAGGGGTAACAGTACTACTGACATCACTTTATCATGTGAGAACCGTGATACCACTCACGTGTCCCCATTCCAGAGTACTAAGTCACGTCACTTACCCTGTAATTTCGCTGCCTTATCTGCACCCTACAACCGAAACAGCTTACAAAGCAAGCTGCTTGGCGGCTCAAATAGGTAAGACTGAGGTACACACACAGACGAGTTTTTACAATGTATATATGTACATAATATCCTGTAATTTTACATAAACTTACGTGTGTTTGCGGGCGCGTGGTTGGGCCGCGCTGGTTTCACGCGTACAGCCCGCAACGAACTGCGACCGACTGGTTTATTCTTCTGCAAAAAAACATAACATTATTTATATATACATAGTTTTAAAATTACTGATTGGATTCATATTATTAATGTGAATAGTTATAAGGGCAGAGGAAGGTCGAAAAAGAGATGGATGGACTGTGTGAAAGATATGGCAAGAAAGGAAATAACGAGATGACTGCGAACAGATATGAATGGAAGAGAAAAACATAATACGCCGACCACAAATGAGAGGAATAAGGGAGGCGGATGTCGAATAGTATATTTTTTATAAAAAATTCAAATTACCTGATCTACTGGTGGTACGTCGTGGTGACCGTTGACATATTTATCGCCCAGTGTTGACAGACTCGTCAAACTCGACACGGAGGACAGAGTGACGTCGTGGTGTGTGCGCGACGCCTCTTTCAGGAATGTTGGTTCGGTGCCTGCAAACATATAGATATATATAAATCTATTGATCAGGATGGTAGGGAAAAATATTAATATAAAAAAAAATATCGTTTGTAATCAGTTAAAATGGATAAATGATTTTTTAAGCCTAGTAAGTGCGTAGCGGTTTCAATGTTGATTGTCGCATGCCTAATCCTTGTTAATATAAATCTAATTAAAACAACATTTATTTAAAAAAGCAACAATCAAGTTTCTCGTTCATTCTTCTTGTGATGAATCTGCGTTCAGAATGAATGGTAGAATAAAAAAATGTGACTATTCATATATTCTATAAAAAAAGTTGTTATTCTATAAAAAGTGTTTATGTATATTAAGTTTATTTGAATAAAGATTATTTCTATATCCATTTTGCTTTGAAATCTATCTGGCAACCAATCTATCAATCAATCATTAAATGACTGTGGTATCGTAACTCCTAAACTAATGCATCAACACGATTTTTTGTTGAAAATCTGACAGTTCATGTCAGTAGCTTAGCAGTAGTAGTGTAGCTTCTTAGCTACAACTTATTTGTAAAAATTTTATATATTTAACATTTCACTCTCGTGGTAAGTACTAAGCTGTCACGCCTCTTATCCTGTAATTTCACTTCCTAATCTGCACCCTACAACCGAAACAGCTTACAAAGCAAGCTGCTTGGCGGCTCAATAGCAGACTTCCGTCTTAATTCTTCATGCAAGCCACAGACTGTATAGAGATGTCGGTTACCACTTACCATCCCGTGAGCCGTCAACTTGCTTGCCATTCCAATAAAAAAAAGCTTTAAAACTCACCCGACTTTGGCTTCTGCATTTCATTCACAAACACCGTCTCGTTCAACTGTTTACACCCCACACCGTCTATCACATTGCTGGAACTCTTCGTTATCGGCTTATTCTCTACATCTTGGAGTTTCTTATCCGTTCTCTGGTCGGATAGCTTCTCAAACGGTTTCACGTTTAAGTACCTCTCGTCCTTTGGTAATGATTCTAGGAATTCTCTATTCAGTTCTTCAGCAGGTTTGGAGGTTACATATTCTTCCTTCACTTCTCCAGTCTCGCTGTCTACAGGCTCAGGTTTGGGGGACGGTGTCTTCAACCGTTTGTCGGGGAGGTTATGCTTCTTCTCCATATCTCGGAGGGGTGAATCGATTACCTCTATTGTGGTAATGGGATGTTCTTCAACTCTGCCGTTCAGTTTGTGACCATTCCGTCGCTCGTAGTGCTCGAATGGTAACAGGAACCTGAGAGGGTAACAAGTATTTTTAATATATAACTAGTATCGATCAGACATCGCCTTTGCTTAAATTTTATAGGTTTTATATATATAGGTCTACGAAATTATATATATACTAGTCCACGAGTCAGAGCTTAATTTCGTTAATCAGTTCCTCTCGACCGAAAACATTTAAAATAGTAGATCTGAGAATGGGTTGAGGAGGTGGATCTTCACAAATCAAAATATCTATAAGTCGCGCAATTCAAATAGGCAAAGATTACGGCCTGAGCCGAGGTTCGAACTCCTAGCGGTGCCCTAGACTAAACTCGTATCAGTCTGGCGGGAATTGGTCTCCATACGTCCTTCGTTTGGTTCGGAGTGTCCCCTGCACTCGCCCCCTATCGTCCGGTACAGCTGTAAGTCCAGCTGCGGCCAACAGTATTAGAGTAGTATATATATATATATATGCGTGCGTACCTCTCGTAGTGGGCGCGCGCCCTGGCGGGCTGTGCGGCGGCGAGTCTCCACAGCTTGCGTCCGCACACGGCTTCATATCCTCCGCGAGCTCGCACCCACGCGTACAGCGCCCGCAGCGACACTACAACACCATGTATAACGGCTATATCTCAAAACAATGCTACAAAAAATTAAAAAAATGTCCCCAAGTATGATCTACTTCTTAAATTATGTTAAGAAATACTGCTACACCATGTATAACGTCATATCTTAGAACAATCCATCAAAAAATAAAAAATTGTCCCCAAATATGACGCTACGTCTTAAATTAGGTTAATAGACACTGCTACACCACGTATAACGTGATATCTCAAGATAATCCAGGAAAAAAAAGAAGATTAATCAAATCTATTACAGACTCAAGTGATATGTCATATATACCGTAAAAAATTAATCACCAAATATAGGACTAATTCTTAACATACGTTAAGAGATCATGAGAGTGAACTTGACAGTAAGTACAAAATATTGATACAAAGAACTTGTCGTTCATAAGCCGTTAAAATGTCCTACACGAATAAATGAGATTTGATTCGATTTGCTTATATACTCACAGTCCTTGAGCGTATGTGAAGTATTAAACGGCTCGTTCCTGTCCTTGTAGAACTGCTTCAGCGTATTCATGAACGCCCTGTCTTCAGCGCTGCTTTCCTTTAGATCATCATCATCACTCTGCTTATCACCGTTGCGGAGAGTGAGACGGCGTGGCGTTTGAATCTGTATATAAAAATTACATGTGACAATTTTTTTGGACTACTCTAATGCTGTTGGCCGCAGCTGGCCTTTCAGCTTCACCGGACGATAGCGGGCGAGTGCAGATGGCACTCCAAACCGAAGACAGGACTTATGGAGCGGCTGAAGGCCAACTCCAGCCTGACGGATACGACTTTGCTGAAAGCACAGATAGTGTTTCGAACTTTGCCTCAGGTCGTAATTTCGATCCCCGTTTGAATTGGACCAACGGAGAGTCGACGGTGTGGAGCGCCCGGTTGAGTGCGCGATATGGTGTGTTTGAGGTCGTCGTCTTAGCCGGCGAGGACGGTGTCGTGTGTGTGAAAGTGTCGGGACGGATGTTTGTCCGCGATTGAATCCTATTGTAGAGATATTTAATAACTAAACGGCCTTCGAATATCTCTGCATTCCCTAAGGTTGGTAGAGAAAGTATTAGGGGCCGTTCAAGTATTACGTAAGCACTATAGGGGGGCGGGGGTCTTTTCTTTGCTTATTTTGGATGACATGGGGGTGGGGGAGTCTGTATGATGATTACGTCATCGGTCGTAATTTAATTTTTTACACGAATGGCAACCCTCACATTGTCTTTGCTAAAAAAACAATACATTAATTGAGAAATGTTTACGTAAGCATGGGTGGAGGGGGTAAGAGCTTTGCTTACTTTTGCTGACAAGGGGGATGGGGGGTAAATAATTGTGATAAATCTGCTTACGTAATACTTGAACAGCCCCTTAGGCCCGCCTATTGTACTATTAAATAAAGTTTAAATAAATAAATAAATACGTATGACAAGAAGGTATGATACAGACACAGTTGCGTGGGTCAACTAGTAATAAATAAAACATCAGTTTTTCTCACGAGACTACAGCATGCGGTTTTTCAAGAAGGGTATATTAAGGTTTCTTAAGGGTCGGCAACGCGCACGTGACACCCCTGGTGTTTCAGGCGTTCATAGGCTACGGTAACCAATTACCATCAGATGGGCCGTATGCTTGTTTGCCACCATCTTAGTAAAAAAAATACCATACAAACCCTGGGCTGCGGAGGGGGTCGTTCATGCTCGCTGTCACTAGAGCGAGATGGTGATGGCGACGAGGGGGTGTGACTGCGGGAGCGGGGGGGTCGGCGGCGGCGGCCTCGAGGTCGCCCCTTCAGCCGCGGCGCCAGGTGGTTGCACACGAACTCGTGACCCTCCAGCTCTGGGTACTCGAAGGTGTCCTGGAATTATTCATTCTAGATCTAATAACTGGGTTTCCATAATTAAATGAAACACATAATTTGACTTAATCTAGAGGTTTCGCACACCGCCTTACATGCGTCACGGGTTCGATTCCTCGCATGGTGCAATCATTTGTATTCATTAGTATGATTGTTTGTATCGGTCTGGGTGTTTTCTATGATTATTATGTATGTATTTACAAAACAAATATGTATGTATATATATCAGTTGTCTAGTACCCATAACACAAGCTCTGCTTAGCTTGGGACTAGATGGCGCTGTGTGATTTGTCCTGAGATATTATTGTGTACATTATTACTACATACACACAACAATATTTTATTACACGCGGTTCCGCCTGGAAACATTGTGATAAATTCTTGGTGAATTTGCCACGATGTGCTAACTGACCATCCTACACTGGTGCCCCGACAGCGCAGGCGGGTGCACCAATCCATTATCATCCATAAACCCTATGTTACATCACTGCCACTTCAAACTACGCTACACATTCATGTTGTCCTGGTACTTCGACTGTACCAATCCTATGTTACGTTACATCACTGCGACTCCAAACTACGCTACACATTCATGTCGTCCTGGTACTTCGACTGTACTAACCCTCTGTTATGTTACATCATTGCGACTCCAAACTACGCTATACATTCATGTCGTCCTGGTACTTCGACTGTACTAACCCTCTGTTATGTTACATCACTGCGACTCCAAACTACGCTACACATTCATGTCGTCCTGGTACTTCGGCTGTACTAACCCTCTGTTATGTTACATCACTGCCACTCCAAACTACGCTACACATTCATGTCGTCCTGGTACTTCGGCTGTACTAACCCTCTGTTATGTTACATCACTGCGACTCCAAACTACGCTACACATTCATGTCGTCCTGGTACTTCGACTGTACTAACCCTCTGTTATGTTACATCACTGCGACTCCAAACTACGCTACACATTCATGTCGTCCTGGTACTTCGACTGTACTAACCCTCTGTTATGTTACATCACTGCGACTCCAAACTACGCTACACATTCATGTCGTCCTGGTACTTCGACTGTACTAACCCTCTGTTATGTTACATCACTGCGACTCCAAACTACGCTACACATTCATGTCGTCCTGGTACTTCGACTGTACTAAGCCTCTGTTATGTTACACCACTGCCACTTCAAACTACGCTACACATTCATGTCGTCCTGGTACTTCAACTGTACTAACCCTCTGTTATGTTACATCACTGCCACTCCAAACTACGCTACACATTTATGTCGTCCTGGTACTTCGACTGTACTAACCCTCTGTTATGTTACATCACTGCGACTCCAAACTACGCTACACATTCATGTCGTCCTGGTACTTCGACTGTACTAAGCCTCTGTTATGTTACACCACTGCCACTTCAAACTACGCTACACATTCATGTCGTCCTGGTACTTCAACTGTACTAACCCTCTGTTATGTTACATCACTGCGACTCCAAACTACGCTACACATTCATGTCGTCCTGGTACTTCGACTGTACTAACCCTCTGTTATGTTACATCACTGCGACTCCAAACTACGCTACACATTCATGTCGTCCTGGTACTTCGACTGTACTAACCCTCTGTTATGTTACATCACTGCGACTCCAAACTACGCTACACATTCATGTCGTCCTGGTACTTCGGCTGTACTAACCCTCTGTTATGTTACATCACTGCCACTCCAAACTACGCTACACATTCATGTCGTCCTGGTACTTCGGCTGTACTAACCCTCTGTTATGTTACATCACTGCGACTCCAAACTACGCTACACATTCATGTCGTCCTGGTACTTCGACTGTACTAACCCTCTGTTATGTTACATCACTGCGACTCCAAACTACGCTACACATTCATGTCGTCCTGGTACTTCGACTGTACTAACCCTCTGTTATGTTACATCACTGCGACTCCAAACTACGCTACACATTCATGTCGTCCTGGTACTTCGACTGTACTAAGCCTCTGTTATGTTACACCACTGCCACTTCAAACTACGCTACACATTCATGTCGTCCTGGTACTTCAACTGTACTAACCCTCTGTTATGTTACATCACTGCCACTCCAAACTACGCTACACATTTATGTCGTCCTGGTACTTCGACTGTACCAACCCTTTTTTTTTATCGTGTGGAAAAATCTTCAAAAGACCGTCACCCCGCCGGAGGGATGGCGAGGTGGTGTGTGGGACTCGTACCCACTAAAAAACCACACGGTGTACCTACGAGCGCCTATGCCGGAGCCAGGGGATTCGCAAGTGCATTCTACCCCAGCTCCGACGGCGACGGCCCGCCCTGTAGATGTTGTAGGGCAGGCCCCATCTCGTTTTGTGGTTAGGGCGACCTATTTCGCCCTACTCCATTGTGGAGGCGTGTGGGTACACGCGCACACCTCCGGGGCCTTTGGATTGGGGGGACTGCCTTCGACTGTACCAACCCTATGTTACGTTACATCACAGCCACTCCAAACTCCGCTACACATTCATGTTGTCCTGGTACTTCGACTGTACTAACCCTCTGTTATGTTACATCACTGCCACTCCAAACTACGCTACACATTCATGTCGTCCTGGTACTTCGACTGTACCAACCCTATGTTATGTTACACCACTGCCACTTCAAACTACGCTACACATTCATGTCGTCCTGGTACTTCGACTGTACCAACCCTATGTTACGTTACATCACAGCCACTCCAAACTCCGCTACACATTCATGTTGTCCTGGTACTTCGACTGTACTAACCCTCTGTTATGTTACAACACTGCCACTCCAAACTACGCTACACATTCATGTCGTCCTGGTACTTCGACTGTACCAACCCTATGTTATGTTACACCACTGCCACTTCAAACTACGCTACACATTCATGTCGTCCTGGTACTTCGACTGTACTAACCCTCTGTTATGTTACACCACTGCCACTTCAAACTACGCTACACATTCATGTCGTCCTGGTACTTCGACTGTACTAACCCTCTGTTATGTTACATCACTGCCACTCCAAACTACGCTACACATTCATGTCGTCCTGGTACTTCGACTGTACCAACCCTATGTTATGTTACACCACTGCCACTTCAAACTACGCTACACATTCATGTCGTCCTGGTACTTCGACTGTACTAACCCTCTGTTATGTTACATCACTGCCACTCCAAACTACGCTACACATTCATGTCGTCCTGGTACTTCGACTGTACCAACCCTATGTTATGTTACACCACTGCCACTTCAAACTACGCTACACATTCATGTCGTCCTGGTACTTCGACTGTACTAACCCTCTGTTATGTTACATCACTGCCACTCCAAACTACGCTACACATTCATGTCGTCCTGGTACTTCGACTGTACCAACCCTATGTCACAAAATAGAATAGAAATAATCTTTATTCAAATAAACTTAAAGTAAGCACTTTTGAATAGTCAAGATTTTTGTTTTTACCGCTTATTCGGAATGCAGACTCATCACAAGAAGAATAAGCAAGAAACTTGTGTGTTGCTCTTTTAAAATCATATACATCACTGCCACTCCAAACTCCGCTACACATTCATGTTGTCCTGGTACTTCGACTGTACTAACCCTAATTAAAGGTGCGAAGGGGTCCACGCTGTTCTCCTTGGAAACCATCATGTTAAATTTCCCACGATGTGCTAACTGACCTGACCTCATTCATTGCTCATCCTATCATCCTCCACTGGTGCCCCGCCAGCGTACACCGTTAGCGCAGGCGGGTGTACCATTCCAATATCATCCACAAGAACCCTATGTTACACCGATGCCACTCCAAACTACGCTACACATTCATGTTGTCCTGGTACTTTGACTGTACTAACTCTACGTTACAGGTGGGAAAGGGTCCGCTGTTCTCTTTGGAAACCATCATGTGAAATTTCTCACGATGTGCTAACTGACCTATCATCCACCACTGGTGCCCCGCCAGCGTATGCCGACAGCGCAGGCGGGTGCACCAATCCATTATCATCCATAAACCCTATGTTACATCACTGCCACTTCAAACTACGCTACACATTCATGTTGTCCTGGTACTTCGACTGTACCAATCCTATGTTACGTTACATCACTGCCACTCCAAACTCCGCTACACATTCATGTTGTCCTGGTACTTCGACTGTACTAATCCTATGTTACGTTACATCACTGCCACTCCAAACTACGCTACACATTCATGTTGTCCTGGTACTTCGACTGTACCAATCCTATGTTACGTTACATCACTGCCACTCCAAACTCCGCTACACATTCATGTTGTCCTGGTACTTCGACTGTACTAACCCTATGTTATGTTACATCACTGCCACTTCAAACTTGCTACACATTCATATAATCCTGGTACATCACCGACCTTGCAGTACAGTATCCTGGTGTTCTTGGTGGGCGCCGCGTACCCCCCGAGCGCGGCCACCAGCGAGTCCCGCAGCCAGTCGCCTTGTATGCCCTCGAGGCGGGACAGCAGCGCCCGGTAGCGGCAGTACCTCGGGTATGAGAACACCACCACGCCCGGAAAGTCCGCGTCTACTGCAAGTAAGGAGAGATGACTGTTAGGACAACTGCAAATTCTTATTTACCAGCAATCCGTCTCAGTTTTCAACAAATCTTGAAAAAAAATTCACACAACACAACCTTACAATTTCCAATGTCGCAGATTCGACTCCTCGCACGGTACAAACATTTGTATTATTTGTGAGTATGACTGTTTGTTTTGGTGTGGGTGTTTTCTATGTTTTTACAAATAAAAACGTGCACAAGTATTTCTATCACTTGCCTAGTGCCCATAACACAAGCTTTGCTTATCTTGGGACTAGATGGCGCTGTGATCTTCCATATTATTCAACTAGCTATACACGTGACTTCGTCCGCGTGGAATTTAACATTATTTTTCTAAAATAAAAGTAGCCTAAGTTACTCCTTATTACATCAGCTACCTGCCAAAATAAGTACCGTCTTAATAGGTCCAGCCATTTCAGAGGTCAAACTGACTTGACTTCATCACCATCACTGGAGTCCTGCCAGGGTATACCGTTAGCGCAGGCGGGTGCACCATCATATTAACCAGCTTGGTTCAGGGGAGGCAGCGGGATAGGAGGGCGGTAGGTAGGATAAGGAATTACTAGGGAGGAGATCTACCAGAACTCTCCAATGGTACTCTCCTCTCGTTACACATGACTGAAGATCAGCTTGGTTCAGGGGAGCCGTGTGCTGAGGTTCGGCAGCGGGAAATGAGGGGGAGGGGGGTAGGTAGGGGAAGGCATTACTACAGGTAGGAGAACCACCAGAACTCACCAATGGTACTCTTCTCTCGTTCAACATCGCTGAAGTCCAGCTTGGTATGATGCAGGGGCGCCGTGTGGCGAGGGTCTGCTGGAGGAGCACACGAGCCCTTCCAAACGGCCCGGAGGCCCCACCGCCAGCTGTCTCCAACGCACACCCAGCTTAGCAGATCTTCGGCCCGGAGTACCACCTTATCATTTATTGCTAACACCTCATCCTGCAACAATAGAAATGGGAGAAATTTAAAGTGTATTCTAGAATCATTACATAGTATAAAACAAAGTCGCTGTCGCCATCTGTCCCTATGTATGCTTAAATCGTTAAAACTACTGAACGGATTTTGAAGCGGTTTTCTTTAATAGGTAGAGTGATTAAAGAGGAAGATTTATATGTATAATAATACATGTACACCCGTGTGAAGCCGGGGTGCGTAACTAGTTAGATTAGAAATAGAAGATTCTTTATTCAAATAAACTTAATTTAAGCACTTTTGAATAGTCATAACACTTTTTTAATATACCGCTCATTCGGAAAGCTGTCTTTTTTAGCATAGGAAGTGCGGCGGTTTCGGATACCACCTTACTTCCGATGGTCGCGGATTCGATTCCATACACAGCACAAACATTTGTATTCATGATTATAATCATTTGTATCAGTCTGTGTGTTATCTATGTATAATATGTAGATATGTATTATCGAAAAAAAAAATTTTTTATTTGTATCAGTTATCTGGTACCCATAACACAAGCTTTAGCTTAACTTGGGTCTAGATGGCGCTGTGTGAATTGTCCTGAGATTATTATTATTATTATTGTTGTTGTCTCATTAATTCAGCTTTTGCGGGGTTTTTTTCCACACTCACGGATCGAAACCAGTGTATGTGTGTGAATGTATGAGTACGAGTGTGTGTGTACTTATTGTGTGACTGGTGTTATGTCCTTTTCATCGATTTCCAGAATGTTTCGGACAGTTCGACAGATATGTATTATTATTATAATATTAGTAAGATATTCCCACCGGTGGACCATCACCTTTATATAATATGGTGAAAATAACGCTCTTCTCAGCCATCCCTTGATGCCAGAATGTTGGATTATATGTTTGGGGTGCTGTCACACCGAGAGACACTTTTTACCGACTGTACGGACGGTCTCGGTGGTACAGTGGTTTAACACCGCCTTGCTATCAATGAGAATACGAGCTGAGTTTCTTGTCAGTTCTTCTCATCTCGAAATCATTCCGTACTGACGGTAGATTTGACATATCATAAGAGTCAGTAATAGACCTACATGAATAAAGATATTTTGAATTCGAATGACAGCGGGTTCCATTAGTCACTCGTTTCAAAGATTACAAAGATTAGTATTCATGTGTTAATATAAATAACAATTGTAAAAAATAATGAAACATTACAAAACAATTTATGAATGAATTAACTTTAGGGGTGAAATTTATCAAAATCCTTTCTTATGTGATGCCTACGTCATAGTAGCTTTATGCATGCAAGTCTCAGTCCGATCGGTTTAAAATTGACAAAGTTTCATACAAACTTTCATCCCCTATTTTATCCCTTTGGTGGTAGAATTAATCAAAATCCTTTCTTAGCGGATGGCTACGTCATAACATCGGGCTGATATTTGGCATGCAGGTAGCATGCCAAATATCAGCCCGATCCGTCCAGTGGTTTGGGCTGTGCGTTGATAGATCACTATGTCAGTGACCTTTGAGTTATATATATATTGACGATTAGAACATTACAGTTTAAATAAATAAATATCTTACTAATATTATAAATGAGAAACTTTGTGAGTATAGATGTATATGTGTTATTCTTTGACGCAAAAACTACTGAAAGGATGTTAATGAAACTTTACAATGGTCTGCTGTTATCACTACGACTGATTTAATCTTATTGTATACTAGCTGTTCCCGCGACTTCGTTCGCGTGGAATTTAACTTTATTTTTCTAAAATAAAAGTAGCCTAAGTTACTCCTTATTACATCAGCTACCTGCCAAAAAAAGTTCTGTCAAAATCGGGTCAGCCATTTTAAAGATTAGCCGGAACGAACAGACCGACAGACACACAAACAAAAATCATAAAAATTGTTGTTTTGGTATATATATATTCATATGCATGTAGTAAAAAACGGTTATTTCAATATTACAAACAGACACTCCAATTTTATTTATATGTAAAGATTTATATTTGACCCAAAAAATTAGTGCTGGTTGGTAGTTTGTATTCACACGTTTCACGACTTATAAATGTAAACTTACAAGGATTATTTAAAAGAGCAACACACAAGTTTCTTGTTCGTTCTTCTTGTGATGAGAAAGCTTTCCGAACGAGCGGTAGTAAAAAAAATTGTTATGACTATTCAAAAGTACTCAAATTAAACTTATTTGAATAAATGATTTTCTATTCTATTCTATTCTATGTAGCTTATGAATCAGAATGACACATAGACACAATACAAAAAAAAATTATGAAATAAAAAAAAAGCGAACAAGAAAATCAAACAAAAGAAAATAATATATATAAACACATATACCAAAAACAATGATAAAAATGAAAAAAAAAATGCGTATCCATCACTGCGGAGCATCGTCACCGCGTCACTGTACTGATGTGTATGTAAGGGGCCCATCTCAGCATCATGCCATGACAAAAGCCACGACGCTGATAGTAAAAAAAATTCTTGACGCCAGAAATATTCTCATGTACCTACATGACAAAAGCCACTACGCTGATAGTAAAAAAAATTCTTGACGCCAGAAATATTCTCATGTACCCACATGACAAAAGCCACGACGCTGATAGTAAAAAAATTCTTGACGCCAGAAATATTCTCATGTACTCACATGACAAAAGCCACGACGCTGATAGTAACAAAAATTCTTGACGCCAGAAATATTCTCATGTACCTACATGACAAAAGCCACGACGCTGATAGTAAAAAAAAAATCTTGACGCCAGAAATATTCTCATGTACCTACATGACAAAAGCCACGACGCTGATAGTAAAAAAAATTCTTGACGCCAGAAATATTCTCATGTACCTACATGACAAAAGCCACGACGCTGATAGTAAAAAAAAAATCTTGACGCCAGAAATATTCTCATGTACCTACATGACAAAAGCCACGACGCTGATAGTAAAAAAAATTCTTGACGCCAGAAATATTCTCATGTACCTACATGACAAAAGCCACGACGCTGATAGTAAAAAAAAAATCTTGACGCCAGAAATATTCTCATGTACCTACATGACAAAAGCCACGACGCTGATAGTAAAAAAAAAATCTTGACGCCAGAAATATTCTCATGTACCCACAAGACAAAAGCCACGACGCTGATAGTACAAAAAAATCTTGACGCCAGAAATATTCTCATGTACCCACATGACAAAAGCCACAACGCTGATATTAAAAAAAATTCTTGACGCCAGAAATATTCTCATGTACCCACACAGACGCTTTCACACAAAATCCACCTCCACTAAACCACTACTGCCTACCCCATATAGCACTGCAGTCGTGAATATACATTATATAATTTATTGTTGATTTAAAATCTCCCCAATTAGCCATCTTCATTAACACGACCAATGATGCGAGCGTACGGCACAATGGACCGGCCGGTGTACCCCCGGACTTTATTTGGGGGGGTTGAGGGTGGGGTGGGTTTGTACAGGGTCGGATTAGTTATATTATTTACGTTTTAACTACCCGTGCACGCGAGTTTGTTTTCATATCTTCTTTTTTCTGATGTACAGCCATATTATGTTCAAATTCAAATTAAAAAATCATTTATTCATGTACGACATTTTAGCCGCTTATGGACGTCAAACTTTTTTACATTATAATTTAAATTTTTTCCCTACCGTCCAGTTCGGTATATAGATCCAATTGAGAAGAACTGGCAAGAAACTCAATTGAATTACTTTTTTTTAAGCCAGTTTATTTACAATGTATATTTATATAGGTGTCTATGTCTAACATTAAATGAAAATCCCGTGCATGAACAACTATTGCCATGCACGCTCATCATTCAAGTTATATTAGTAAACAACTTACAAACTATGTTACTAAAATATCCTTACGAATCATTACTAATATTATAAATATGACAGCAACTCATTCTGTCTCACTTTCACGCCAACACTACTGAACCGATTTAAATTAAATTTAGTACACAAATAGTCTAGATCCTGAGAAATGACATATGTTATTTGTAATGCAAAAAAGAGGGTTGTATGGGGTTGAAAGGGGAAATGAAAGGTTGTATGGAAGTATCGTATTTTTAAAGCTAGACGCTTGAAACTTATATTTTAGGCTGTTAAATATGAATAAATAAAAAAGGGGAGATGAAGAATTGTATAGAAGTACCGTCATTTCTAAAGTTTTAGGTTTATAAAATAAGAATACAGAATACAAACCACATATATCAAAACTAGAATATTAATCAATAAAATGTAATAATAATATTACACCCTTAACCCGTGCCTGTCTCATTCTAAATGAAGGGGGCGAACTAAAATTGCTTTCAAATAAGTAACCAACCCGCGGTCGTATTCTGTTGCGGTGAGACGATATCGAAACGAGACGAAGTCGATACATCGTTACCGTATTGTGCTTGTTAGAATATATTAATCTGTATCTGTTATATATATAACTCTACAAACGCGCACAATGTCACGTGTAAAACCTAGTGTGTTATATTATTCTATTTATTGACTAAAACGTCCTCATTTTAATCATTTTTTGTATTAATATTTGCTTCCATCGTATTTTTATTGTTTCATTCTCATCAATACATTGCTCTACAGACGCGAACAAACTCACGCGTAAAACCTAGTAATATATTATTCAACGCGTTCAGAATAAGCCGTTCAATTTACGGTTGGCGTTTTCAGGGCGAGTGTTTAAAAGTAATTTTCCCTCTTCGTTATGTATATAAAAAATCTGTTTGTCTGTTAGTTTGTTTATTTAATTTACTAATTACAGATGGCCATAGAGAGAGATTATATCCGTATGGTGATACGTAACCGCTAAAGTTAAATCTATTTTAGATAAACATTTTCCTGTTATCCCATTGACAACTAAATCTTGTTATTTTAAGGCTGCAATAGTAATCAAGTTGAGAGATGATAGAAGCAACCTTCATCTATTTTTTTATACTACGCTGGTGGCAAGCATACGGCCCATCTGATGGG